GAACGCAAACACACGTAAATACATTTGGAGATTAAAAAAAACATGCGCAGACACTCTGATTATGTACCCACAATTCCTCACCATCGCCTGTGTTGGGTTCTGGTGTTGTGAGGGGAGGTCCATTCCAGGGATTAGAGAAACCAGCAAAAGCTGCACGCAGCAGACAGAGCAATACAATAGCTGGGGGGGTAAGAGCTTTACATTAGATGCCTGTTACTGTACTGTTACATATCTGAACCATTGCTACCTCTGTAAATGTATTTAGTCTCACCTCTCATGTTGACGCTAAGTGATAACAGCTTCAGGAGGATGGAAGGTGTGATAGACTGAACGAGAGAGGAAGTGTCATGGATATATATTTTTCTCAGAGCTCCTCCCTTGTTTTATTCCTCCTCTTCTGAAATCGCTCCTCCTTTTCTTTTTCTTTTAATCATCTGCTTATCTGCCTTTATAAGCGTATCACTATGGATGTTTTATCGTCATCACCAGGTGCTCTCACTTTCTAATATCACACTCAAGCAGACACACACACACACACACACACACACCCTCCTGGGCTTTGTGTAGTTGATGCAGGCCAGGTATCATCTATTGTCTGCTACTGTCTGGGGAAAGGTGTCTGTGCAGTCTCATCAACAGACAAAGAAACGGTTTGAAGAACCTCATTATAGTTTAATTGAAATTCTGTGCCACATGTAGGAAATCACAAAACAGCATCATTGTCTCATTTGTCATTTTATATAAAAATATATCCAATTTGATAAAATGGTTAACTGCACTCATCCTACTAGAAGCTGTTGCTGTCTTAGATAATGAAGAGTCTGTATTAAATACGGCTTTAAAATAGGCGGAAATCTTTATATACTGTATGTAATAGGTCACTCTCACTCTCATTTAACCCTGACACATTCTTCTTCTGTGCTTCTGTGATCCATCATAGCTATGTTGTGTCCAGAGTTAAGCATTAAATACAGAGGGAGATATATTAAAATAGTCCACAGTGTATTTCAGATATTGTTGGGCATTAGTCTTTAAATAAAGATCTTAACAACATGTTACTGTCGTTGCGCTGGATTTATTATATTTAGACTTTATCTGTGTGTTGATGTACATGGCATCCTTTTAAATTCACTGTGAGGAAGGTGTAATGACACAGCGTAACTGAGGGGCTTCGATGAAATGTTTTATCATGTGTAACTCAAACCCAAAATGTTCATTATATTAACCATTATCTTATTTTTATAATCCAGCATCAATGTCTTTAATGTAGGCATCACTTTTTCATCTTTGGTTTCTTTGATGGGGATGGAAACAATTCACAATGCCAGCTAGTTTCTTCAGAAGTCTGTTTATTTTATTTTGTTGGTAAGTCTCAGACACAGATTTTTTTTAAATTCATATTTCTATCACAATGTGCATCACATCATTTCAGTGAGTTAAAGATCAACAGCTAGTACAAACAAGATACTTGATATGTGACATGAAAAAGACATGAAACACAGGTTTAAAAGGTTTGCAAGCTCATACAAGGCGTGGGTTGAATCCAGATAAAAATCAATTACTCAGGGGGTGATATAGAGTATATCAGACAAAGATTAGGGGCTACAAGTCATGACCGTCACCAGAGAGAGATGTCGTCTAGCAGGCTGAAACCTTGTCAGTACAGGGCATGAGATGGTACAAAGCTAACTTAGTCAGTAGCATAGAGCAGGAAGCCAGTGAAAGTGTTAAAGTGGCTGTTGTTATCACAGATAGAATATCTTTTGAGCAGGTTGACAGCCACCTCATCCCCAGCCTTCAGCTGCAAGGCCACAACGACAGTGGCGCTGTCCTCAGTGTCATTGCCATTTTGTTCGAGGAGTGTGGCCATCGCTTGGCCGTTGACCTGCAGATTAGCACTTGTGGCCATTTTACCAGAAGTAACAACGCTGAAGATGGTGACGGCGAAGCTGTAGACACCAGAGCGAGGAGCAGTGAAGATACCTGTCTGCATATTGTAGCTGTCGCCCAGGTTGAGGAAGACATGTTTGTAGACGATGAGCTTGTCGTCACTGAAGGGGCCGTAGCAGCTCAACATTTTGTCATCAGTTAGAGCGACAGAGAAGGCGCTGCGGCTGGCTGCAGAGAAACAGTCAGGTTAGAGGTATAAGAAAAGGATTTGATGATGTTCTGCACTGTCTCCTGGTTTGTGTAACTCACCTCTCATGTTGTTGAGGTTCATCTTTGCTGCTGTCAGCTCCTTGTTCATTTCTTCAATGGTCAGGTTAAAGAACCACTCCAACCTTTTTATATTTCTCTGAAGCAGACAGCAGCCACAGGACGACTGGTCCTCAAGACACACTGCACACACACACACACACACACACACACACACACACACACACACACACACACACACACACAGGGCACAAAATACATTAGCTTGCAGATGAGACTGTGCAGAATCACTGACAATGTATAGACAAAAAGGACAGACTTATTTCCTTAACAGTCTCTCACTATCGCTTGTATCGGCCTCTGTTTGCTCTGGTTGCACTGTTGTCTGCGGTGTTGTCTGGACAGGTCCATCCCAGGCATATTGTGTATCCCCACCAAAAGCATGCAGCAGACACAGCAATACAATAGCTGGGGGGGAAAGAGCAAAGCTATAAACCACTAAACCCAGAAAACACTTTTCTTTTAATCACTCTTGAACCATTTTATGTTAAAAGCATTATATTATAAAAGATCACTAATAAGCAACCTACAGTCAGAATATTTCTAACCTGAACTACTTCTGTTATGTCGGACTTTTCAGTTGAAAACTCATTGTGAAGTCCAAGTTCTCTATGAAGCTCCAACCATCTCCCTCCTAGATATTATGCCACTGTAAGTGCAACTTGTATCTCGTCTCACCTCTCATGTTGATGCTGGTAAAAGACCAAAGCTTCACAAGGATGGAAAGTGCGTTGACTGATCATAAGACAGGAGTTGGGGATATATATTTTTTGAGGAGCCCCTCCCTTGTAACCTCTCAGTTTTATTCCTCCTCTTTTTAATGTCGCTCCTCCTTGTTTTAATTTATTGTCCGCCCCATTTGGCTTTATAACTTTATAACTGGAGATGTATTTCTTCATCACTAGGGGCCCTCATTTTCTAAAATTCACACACAATCAGACACACACCCTCCAGGGCCCTTTGTTGTTGATGCCAGCCAGGTATCATCTATCACCTGAGATGAGATGTACTGTATGCAGAGTTCAGTGTTCTCATCAGCAGCCAGACATTATGGTTGGTAGAGCTTCATGTTTGAAATTATTTTTATAGACGTACAGGATTTTTGAGCCATGCACTGTCTGATTCGGCGGCCCAGTCCAACCACCTGTAGCTACCACGGCTGCTTTCTTGGATTGCCACCTCACAGTTGTATGCCTTCGCCAACCAACCAGGAAATACGGTCACAGTCTCCCCTTCCTGAGTTACAGTGTTGTATAATATCCAGAAGTGTTTTTGCAGAACATTATGATGTCACAGTGAAGTTGACCTTTGACCATTTGGATGTAAAATAACATCACTTCATCATTTCATCCCGTTAGACATTTGTGTTAAATTGTGTCATGATTGATGTATTGATTTGTGCTTTCAGGTCAGGGTCACCTTGAACTTTGACCTTTGACCACCAAAATCTAATGAGTCCAAGTGAATGTTTGTACCAAATTTGAGGAAATTCCCTCAAGACATTACTGAGATAAAAGCGAGACTTGTGTAGTCTATAAGTCCAAATACATTAGACTTGCAGCTGTAATGCATATCAGTCCCAGTAATCCTGGTGAGTGCAGACAGAACTATTGCTCTACAGCAAGAACATGCTGGTTTGAACCCAGTTTGACCAGTTTGTTGGGGGTTGCCACAATCCAAAAAAAAAGCCTACAGATTAAGTTACATCTAAATTTCTTGTAGGTGTTTAAATGTGTTTGTCAGTCTGGAAGTGTTCATCCTCATAGACATGCTGGCTGTTCAACTACATTCATATTTGCATTGTGATTCAAGTAGTTTATTTTGTGTCATATGTACATTGTCAATTTGCTAAACTAGATTTCGATCTAGGGTAGCTTTGCTATAGTTAATTGCATTAATTTCTTTAATTGTGCATAAGGTTTGACTTGAAATTAGCTACATATATTTAAAAATGTATTAAAATTGTATTGTATTAAAAATTCTGGAGCAACCGAAAAAGTCTTTTGTGGCTCCAATGGAGTGTAGCTGACTCCTCAACTCTGCTTGAGGCTACATTAACTGCTACTAGTGTTACACACCCAAATCTCCAACCGAACTGTTGGTGGTTGAGGTGCATTTTGGGTAATGAAAGAATGACGTTTTGTCAAGGAAGCAATGTGTGTCAATGTGCGTAAGAAAAAAGATGATATCTCTCGTTTGGCTGCATTTCCTTTTATCCTCTTTTCAAACCGTCCATCGTGACTCCAACAATGATATAGGCAATGCTAAATCAGTAGAGTCAATAGAGTATTATTTTAAATCTCAAGTAGATTAGTGCTTTTGTGGAGATTGAAAAGAAAAAACCTCTCAATGCTGGTATTTTGTTCAAAATTCTTCTTTATTATCTTGTCATTTTGCAGACCACATATTTCCATCACACAAAATCAGTCACTGGAAGATTTACAGCCACAAGAAAAAAAGAACGTGTGACATTAGATGTATGACATTGGGTGTAAGGAAAGTCAGGGCATGGACAATAGTAACAAAGGCTTACAACATTTTGAAATTTGATTTCTGATATTTGAAAAGGCTTCAAAAGCATTTGGACTTGAAGGATAATATTGAGCATGGCTATGATGAAATAAAACAATCAAAATGAATACGAGAGCATTATGTTGAGATGGGTGAGAGTACAAAAGATCAGATAGATTAGGGGATACATGGCACAGCTGTCACCTTGGATTCAAACCACGTCATTATGGTAACAGTTGGCACAAAACCCAGAGCAGCTACATTTCCCTAACTTAGTCAGTAGCATACAGCAGGAAACCAGTGAAAGTGTTATAGTGGCTTTTGTCATCGCAGAGGAAACATCCGATGGGCAAGTTGACAGCCACCTTGTCCCCAGCCTTCAGGTGGAGGGCCACAACAATAGTGGCACTGTCCTCTTGGTCTTGCATATTTCTTTCTCTGGGTCCTGACACCACCTTGCCGTTGACCTGCAGGCTGGCGCAGGCGGCCAGGCTGTTACCAGGAGAACCAGCGTCACTGTAGATAGTGAGGGCGAGGCTGTAGACACCGGAGCGGGGAACAGTGAAGATGCCCGTGTCCACACTGTAGCCGTCTCCCAGGTTGATGAAGACGTGTTTGTAGGCGATGAGCTTGTCGTCGCGGAAGGGGCCAAAGCAGTTCAAATTTTTCTCATTGGTCAGAGCGACAGAGAAGGCGCTTCGACTGGCTGGATGTGCAGGGGAAGAGAAATAAGACTTGTTATGAAGCTGCAATGGGTAAAGCCCCTATATAATGTAACTCATGCACTTATCTCACCTCTGATGTTGTTGAGGACGGTCTTTGATTTTGTGAGTTCCTTCTCCAGCTCATTGAGGCTCATGTTAAAAAACATCTTCATCCTGTGTATCTGCTGCTGCATCAGACAGCAGCCACATGACGCCTGGTCCGTAACACAGACTGAACACACACACATACACACACCAGGTTGAAGTTGATGCAGATCAGATTATGTGCAGACAGGACGAGTGTGTCCTTTGACTTGGAAAAAAAAAATCTGTCACTCACTATTTTCCGTGTTGGGATCGATGCCTTCTGTGCTCTTGCCAGGTCCACCCCATGAATAATCATTGGCTCGGACCAACGCTGATTCCAGCAGACACAGCAGTACAATAGCTGAAGGAAGAAGAGCAAAGGCATGTAGCAGAAAACTCAGAAAGGGAAGCAGATAATTGTACTCTCACATCTTAACATACAGTACATCTCCATGTCCATGTTAACTGTTGCAACTCTTTTGTCTTATTATATCTAGTCTCACCTCTCATGGTTACGCTAGCAACGGATGATGGCTCCAGAGGGACAGACGGTGTGAGAGACTGATGGAGGGTCAAGCTTCACAGCTATATATATGTTTCCCATCAATTCTGTCCATATGGCTTCAGGTAGCTCCTCCCCATTTCCTCTATTTTCCACCCTTTTTCACCCTCATACCTGTACACCTGTATACCTTAACACCTGTATGTATGCCTTTCATTATGAGAGGGGGCTTCACAGACTCACCCACACACATACACAGACACACCCTCCAACACTTTGTGTTGTAAATGTAGGTCAGGTATCATCTATCCTCTGAGGCAAGTTGTCCATGTGATTCAGTGTTCCCATCAGGACACAAAGATAGTGTCTTTCCTCTGTGTTTAAATGCATGAAATGAATTATTGTGAATCAAAAATAGAGAGATGTGTCAGTTTTCAGAGCTGAAAATACCGTGGAGTTTTGTTCACAAATACCTGCTTTAAAGACGCATCAAAGTTGAGTTGTATGAGCTGAGATTGAGGTTCATGTCCATCACATTAATCCATTACATGTTGACACTGACACCGCACTCCTTTTTCTACACCAGCAGTTTTTTATTTTTTTGTTGTTTTAAATCTCAAATTCATATTTTGCACCCTGTAGCCCAGTGTTTGTTACATCTCTCTAACTTTTTCAACCAGGACAGGAAACAACAAGCTGTTGCCCCCATGTAGAAAAATGAATTTCATTGTCCTCCTGTGAATAGTGTTGAATTACTTGAGTTAACTGGCACAAAGGTTACGCTTATGAATGTCTGGGATAGAAGAGAAAAGACTGTTTCCTCCAAGAGAGCGAGGAGTTGAGAATACACTACGAGTTATTACATATTAAAAAAATCATGACTTGTCATTGCAGGTTTATGTTATATAACATCTTACCTGTGTCCAGTGAAAGAAATGTGTGGACAAAAGACCAATGAAGGTCAAATTATTCTTTCCATATCCATGTGGGAAAACGAAAGATACTACAGATACAGATAAGAAAGGAGGGGGGCTAAAAGCATCCAGGTCACCGACGTGTAGGACTCACGATAAGATCAGGAGGATCATGATATACATATTAACAAAATAAATACTGGGGGCTATTTGAACCATCAACAGTCCCAAGATGTAAATGTTTATTTAAGAAATATGTTTGTTTTTTTAAAAAAGGTGTACAATGAAATGTGTGTTTTTTACTCCTTTATTTACTTTAAAAGACGTTTTTGAAAGATTTACATCAGAATAATAAAAGGTGGGTGCAAAAGGAATATTATGAAGCCAGATACTCATGAACAGTTTTGTTTTTCATCTGGAAGGACCTCCAGAGCAAGAAGACATGTACTTCCTTATTCAAATTTCGCAAAGTCACATGCGTACCACCAGACAAGCAGGTTATATCAAAACAAGCAAGAGCCCATCATTCATACACAACTTAATCCAATTGAGAAACAGTCACTGTGGCCCCTACTCCTGCCCAGAACCTGAACCCTGGGTACAGTGGGCCGGTGAACTGGGTCTGGTGCCGGTGGATGAGTTCAGCCTGGTTGTTGGCGATGCGGTAAAAAGCCAGAGTCCCGACAAGTTGGTCCAGATAGACGCCGATCCGCTTGGCCTTAGGTGAGCCCAGGAGTTTTTCCTGCCCATCGTGCCAGAAGGAGAAGCCAGTCCCGGACCAGTACAAGCTCCAGGACAGGGGATTGTGGCCCAAACGGCTTTTGTCATCAGAACCTTTCCGTTCCATCTCCTTGTGGGCCACGCCAATGGTGAACTGCACAGTGGGACAGAGAAAGGTAGGTTAAAAAAAAAAGAAGCCAGACATCCAGATGTGAATACATGAATGTTGCTGTCAAATATGAACTGATTTCAATAATTTATAGCATGAAGCACATGTCTGTATCTGAAACCCCTCCATTTCCCCACTGATATCTAAAGATCCACCTTCTGGCCGGTCCACTCCACCTCCCAGTAGTAAGGGCTCCCAGCCAGGGGCTCCCTGCAGAAAACCTGTCTCCAGAAGTCGAAGCGTTCAGGATGGTCTGGTGGGTTCAAGTTTTCAGCCCGCATCGTGGCCTTATGACCTCCGTCTGACAGCAGCACATGGCGATACGAGGTGTTGGGGTCCATGGTGGGCTCAAAGCGAACTGAAGAGAGAGGATGTATTTTAGTGAAGACACCGTACCCCCTGAAGGCTTTGACACTGTGGTCTCTATTCTGTTTCATATTGTGGACGATGATGGACTTACATTTTAACAATTCATCTCTAGACTTTGGTTCTGGATTCACAGGTCCCACTGTTGTGTAACCTCGGTTAATATGACCTTAAACAAACAAAAGAAATGCTAAATATCATGTGAGCAAGTTAAATAACATTAGTTATATTGAGTTAATTAAGATTAACAGTTGTGATAGTAGTTTACACTGTTGATTTTGATATTTTACTTTGTGTACTGCTCCTTTAAATAGCTATCTGTAAATACCTACAGTGCTACAGTTGTTATAGTAGGTGCTAAGAGCACAACACAAATACTATTATATAAATCAGGGATTTTCTACATCTACAAGATAAAGTAGTTGATTAATATGTGCAGGCAGTTTCTGAAGGTTTTGTATTTACCTGGAGGTCGATGAGGAGGGAAGGGTGGAGGAGGGGCTGAAGCTTCACAAACAACTGAACAAAGGGAACAGGCAAACCAAAGAAATCTCAAACTCATGACCTCAAATATCAGAGAAACTTTTTCATGTAGTGTGGCAGGCGTTATTATTGTTACCTTGAGCACATGCAGGATGTAAAGCTGGATATTTGGATGAAGAATTGTGCCCTGGGAAAAAGCAAAAAATATTAACTTAGAAACTTTCTAAGTGCCACAGTTAAATATTTTCATATCCAAGACACAGACTGTACTGTGTATTAAGTTTCTAAAGTAACTTACCTTGAGCTCGTGGAGGTGGCAAAGGTGGAGGGTCTGTTGTCATTTCATACACTACAGAAAAGAGAGGATGAGTTGCGAGAAGCACATCTCTAAATGTCCCTATCTTCAGTATGTAGGTAACAGTAAATACACTGGATGATTTTAAGTTTCTGTACCTGTGTTTTGTGCACTGGCCTGCCCACAGTTATCAGCTGCTGTAGTGTCTACTACTGCACCATTGGGTGTTGAAGCCACAGGGCCATGATTCACTATAAAGAAAAGACAAGTTTTGATTGAGAGGAGAGGAGAGGAGAGGAGAGGAGAGGAGAGGAATACTGACCTAATGTGAGGATCTTGGCCAGGCTGGCTTTGCAGAGCTCCTGTACTGACGTTTGTAGTTCTTTCATGACTGAGCGGATGGAGGCTACCACCGCCTCCTCCTGACTCAGCACTGACTCTCTTGTGACACCCATCTGACCCAGGGGCTCCATGGTTAGGAAATTCTTGAGAACAAATGACAAAATATCACAATTGACAGAAGTTCTCATTTTATTGATTGTGAAACTTATGCTTTATTTATCCTGTGAGATTCAAATGAAATCAAATTCCAGCAGCTCATTACCTTCAAGAAGCAGATGTGGTCCTGCATGTCAGCCAGTCTGCTCAGCTCTTCACTCCTCCAGCGGAGCTGTGCCACCTCCTGCTCCAGTCTGTGGATCTGGCCCTCAACCTGACTGCCTAAGGAGGTCTCATGGGTGCTGAGGAGCTCACCAACCTGGGTGCCTGTTCCATTCACATTCTTGGCTAGCTCTGCGAATAAATCTGTGCTCTCTTGCTCTAGAGCCTGGACCAAGGCCTGGGAGTACAGAGAGAGGAAGAGGAGGATCAAAGAGGATGAGGAGATGATGAAAACAGGGTACAAAGACACACATGTCATGAACAGATCTACAAGCAATACATCAGACCAAACAATAATTGTCACTTACCTTGTGTTGGCGAGCAGCATGTGGAAGCTCCTTAAGCGTCTTTTCAGTCTCCTGAATTCTCCTCTGTACCTCTGCCTGCATGTGAACAAGCTCTTGCTATTACACACACACACACACACACACACACACACACACACACACACACACACACACACAGCTTAGTATAGAAAACAAGACACACACCCTGTTGGGCAGTGATTTACTTAGTAATTTGTGACATCACAAAATATATATTTATATATTACATCTGACAGGAATACACACAAAAGACAGCTGTTTTACAAATACTTCAAGATCAGCTACATTTTGGAAATGCCACATATGAGAAAACACAGCTCTAGATTCACCTGAACCTCATCTTTTACACCAAGACCAGCATGAGAGAAACCAACTACAAAAGAGCACTGACAATATTACTCTGGTGATAATTAGCCTTTTCCATTACATACCTGTCTCTCCTTCCTCTCTTCCTGTGGTTTGAGCACACGATGCCCGTTGTGTCCATGTTGGCAACACAACTCACACACACACTCCTTGTCTTCGTGGCAAAATAGGTCCAGGGGTCGGTTGTGTTGAGGGCAGGGTCTGGGTTCCACTAAAGGAAGCTGAGGGTACATGCTGCCCTGTTGTGGCCCCATATCTGGTAGGACCTCCAGGTAGACAGGCATCGATGGTGGGGCTGAGGAGGCAGCTGTGGAGGAGCTCTGCTTGAGGCTGTTGGTTCTCAGTTTTTCCATAGCCTCCACAAGGACAGTGCTCTTGGCCAGCGAGGGCCGAGGGTTGAAGACCTGCCTACACTGGGGGCAGCTGTGCTGACCCTTGCTATCTCCCTTGTCCCAGTGGCTCTGGATACAAGCCAAGCAGTATGAATGGCCACAGGGTAGAGTGGCAGGGTCCTTCAGGGTATCCAGGCATACTGAGCAGACAAAGGTCTCCTCCTCAGTCCAGGCAGAGGCCATATGTTGCTGGGTTGAAGGAGAAAAGGTGAGTTAGTTTTCTCAGAGGTCAGACCTGGATATATACCGATAACTACAAGGTTCCCTGCTCAAGTCGGCTGAAGAAATAGGAAATGCACACAAAGATGGCAAGTTTGAAATGCCAGTTCACATGAATCACATGCTGCTTAAAAGCTGAAGCAACCTGGGTTCAGGGTGGAGCTGGAAGAACAGGTGGGGTGAGGAATTTCCCTCGTCACAGGTTCTTTCCAGTTGGTCAAATGATAAATATTAGGCCTGGTGAACAAATGGCAACTTTATGTCACTGCAAAAATTAACTAATAACCATCAGAAATTGATCAAGAGAGTGATGTTAGGCTCTTTATGAACTAAAACTGTATTGAAGCCTGGTTTTAGTCAACCCAGTAAAAGAGACAGGCCTCATCAATGCACAGTCAAAAGAAGGTAGACTGGTTTTTCAGCTGAAGGCGTGACGTCTGGTGATGTAAATTTCAAACAATGGGTTGTTTTCCCAATGAATTCATCAGTGAATAATGTTAAAAATGCCACTCACACCCGCCCTCTATCTATTTGCATAAAAACAAAAAACAAACAAAAAAAAAAGTTGTGAAATAAGTTTGGCGTCAACACAGCGCAGTGAAGGCAACACTGACGCGCATGAAGCTGTTATGCGCCATATTGGTTAATGGCAGTCGGCGGCTATCGGAGGGAGACAGCTGCTGTTTATTCAACTTTCAAGGTGAATGTTTTCCGCTTTCAAATTACATTTTACATTTGACATTCGGTCACTGGCGTATTTTTGACTTCCTGTTGGACATGTCGCAACGCTGTCATTGACCAAATCCCAAATTTTAGGACCGCGATACCACTGATATTGAGCAGCTCTCTGTTATGCTAGTTTATGCTAATTTTTTTGCTAGCTAGTTAGCGTGCGTACATGTTTGATAGTTTCATGCCAAATTAGATCTTGAATGCTCCCAAACGTGATTGTGACAGCTTTATGCGGTAGTGGATAACCCACAAATGTGACACTTATATGTAATATGTTTGCATACGTCGCTGACAGAGCTCAGATAGCTATCTAGCAGTTGTAGCTGTCAGGCAAAGTTTGCAAGACAAAGTGTAACTGTGATGATTGTCAAGTCCGTGTAAACCTGAGCTTATATCAGCTGGGTTTTTAAGAGACAACAGGTCTATCTACTCCACCAGCTCATGCTAACATTTCCCCAAAAGGTGTCCATCTCATCTACAGGTAGAAACAGTGGTATTTACTGTTTACCTACGCTGTCACATAGACTGAAGTACTCATGCTGGTGTAGTTAATGATGCCCCATTGACTGACACCTTTAAGACTCTTTGAATCTTTCTGTTTGTTTTTTTTCATAAGATGTTTAGGGGCCCTCAAATCCTGACCTGGTCTTGTCCCATAAGGTCATTGCTGCTATTGAGAGAGTCCCACCTCTGCACTTTCTCTGGGCACACTGGTGCTGTATGGCAGGGCGCAAAACATGGGAAGGAAAGCAGATACAGCGTGCTTCCTGAAAGAGGCAGAAGCAAGGAGGGGTCATCATTGTCCTCCGAGACTGTATCCTGTGCAATACAGCTGTCTTTATTTAACTCGTACTGTGGTAATCATCATCTGAGAGAGGCTTCATTTCAAAACCTCCTATCCAAAGCCATTTTACCCAGCCATCATCACCCCTATCTGGTTTCTACCTCTGTAAAAGACAAACGAGTGTCTGATCCTTGGAAATGCACTGCAGTGGAAGATTCAGGTCAAAACCCCAAAGCTGTGAGAACTTATCAGGACTGTTTAACCAACACAACTTGCCTTCAACCCTGGAGAAGACCTTGGGACAAAGTTTCATTCACTTTCACCAATAAGACTCAATGCAACCCTCCTCAAAGCCATTTATATTACAGACAGCACTTTGTCAGACTTTTCAGCTTGTCAGCAGATACACCACAGACTTTAAACCACTTTTACAGTAGAACACAAGCCTCTAGCCTCTTTCTTCAGCATATCAAAGCTATCCATCAGGCTGCCACTCGGGTGGTAGATGGCTGGAGAGACTGTCTATCCCCGGAGAATGAAAACAGGTGTCGAAAGAGACTGGAGCCCAACTTAAAGCTCTATGATGTGGAAAAGGGGAGAAAAGCAGCAAGTCAGAGCCAAGGAAAGAACCAGGGGAGATGGGCATCTGTCCTGGTCTCCCTCTGTTCTGTTGAGGGGCAACCGGCGTTTCTCTTCACCCTGCGCTCCAGCACATTGAAGGGCAGGCACAAGGGAGATGTCAGGTGAGTGGCAGGCTATAAACAGACTAAACTGTATTACAAACATTCAGTAGAGTATGTGTCCTTATTTCCATTTGTGTGTAGCTTTGCAGGAGGGAAGAGCGATCCATCAGACAGAGATGTGGTGGCCACAGCGTTGAGGGAAGCCCGGGAGGAGCTGGGTGTTAATGTGGGAATGGAGAGGGTCTGGGGTGTCCTGAAGCCTCACAGGGACATGGTGAGTGGGACTGTTTTGTCTTAAAGAGTTTAAGCCATGCGTTGAAGCATTGAGCTGTACTTAACTTTGAAAAGAATTTATCATTTCAATATTTCACTATTGATTGAACTGTCATCTATTTTTTATTTATAAGTAATTCTGTGAACATCAGTTAGAATAATGAAATTAGTAAAAATATTAATTGCAAATTCCAAGAGCTCCAAGTTGATGGTTTCATCTGACCAGCAGTTCAAACCCAGAAATTTTCTGTTTATGATGATATAGCATCAAATCCTCACATTTGAGAATCATGGACCGGGATAAATCACTAACATCTATTTGTTAGTTAATCAGAATTGTTGATGATTCATTTTCCATTGATGTAATAACCAATTAATCAATAAATTGTTCCAGGACTTGTCTTAAATTCAGTGTTAAATTAGGCCTGCAGAAACTTGTCTTTATGTCTACTACTATACAGGCTCTGCTTTGTTATACAGACAGCGACAGATGGATTAATCTATCTTCATAATAAAAAAAAAATACAATATCTTGCTTCATGTCACTTATTCAAACACACAAACTCACATCTTACCTAAAACAAAGCTTAACATTTCATTATACTTGTGTAATTGTCACAATGTTTTTTGGTAATTTGATTGTTTTGAATACAAAATATGTGTTAAGTTTGTGTCTTTTGTGTGTCCCTCCAGTCAGGGATGGTGATTGCTCCTGTGCTGGCTAACCTCGGTCCCCTAGAGGAGTTGTCCTTCAAACCAAACCCTGGAGAGGTACAGTCATCATATTTTTTTTTTAGCATTACCCCACATTTTATATCTACTTGAAATGGACAGGGTTCCACATGTGTAAATCACCAGAGGTTTTGTTTTTGGACATGGTTCTGTATTTATTAAGTCATATATTATACACTTTGTTTTGGTGTGTTTTCCCATAACAGATACTTTGCAGATTTAAAGAAATTTCTCTTTTTTTTTCTGGTGTTATGAAATCACATCACAGTCACTGTTGGCACCAAACGATCTTCTGTGGTGACTGTTTCATATCATCAACCAAAACACTACAGTTCAGCTTTGCTGCTTTTATGTCTGTCTGTTTCCTCACTGACTTTTTAAACTACCAATGTAAAAGTACACTCAAAAAAACAATTAATCAAACAGCTACCATAAAAACACACCTCTTTTCTGGTTGGTATCTATTAAGAACCAAATATGTGATGTGCTTGTTTCCATCCCAGGTGGAGGAGATCTTCACCTTGTCATTGTCCCACTTGTGCAACCCCCAGAACTGTGGCTACACACACTTCCGCACTGGTGACAAGTATGGATACACACTCCCAGTGTTTCGTAATGGCAAGCATCGAGTGTGGGGCCTGACCGCCGTCGCTTTAGACCATACCCTGAAACTCATTGTTCCTCCTTAGCAGCTCGGTCACTGTTACTTCACAGTTTACAAATGTAAAACAGACCTGTCATGAGACTCAAAGATCTGATTATGAGAAATGTGCAATCAAGCCTTGTGTAGCAAAATCATTTCAGTAACACACACACACACATATATATATATATATATGTGTGTGTGTGTTTATATATATATATATGTAATGGACTTGATTTTCCAATGCTTATAAATACTCTTTTTTTATTCAAGAGTTACCAGTTAAGTGGATTTTAACTGAGATAACCTTTGTCACATGAGGAGGTGAGCATCTGTTATATTTTATCATGCTTACTCAGTCAAGCAAAACTGTAAAAAAAAAACTTCATGATTTCCAGTTAGACTCAACCCATGACTGTTTCCCATTTTATCTCACACTATGTCAAATATGGACTGTTATAAACACTGAAAAAATACAGGCACATTATGTAATGTGTTGTGTTCAAGGACAATGCATTAGAAGTTGTTTCAAAGGTATTCTGTGTGTATTGTTCATTCTCTCTTCTTAGATATGTTTTTACATGATTTACATGACATCAAAACAATAAATAGTGCAAAAAGACAATTTATACCAGTATGATTTGATTTTCTATTGGAGGCTGAAAACTTCCATTTGGTTTAGTCAATCACACAAAAACTTAAAAAACTTTTCATTTGAGTACTTAAAAGCTTTTCTTTTAAAATGGCTACTGTGCCACAATTTTCTGTATGTATCATATGAGTTTTATGGGCAGGAGTGTTAAGTGAGGGTCATGCTGCTTTCTACAACACAGCAATTGAATAATGTCCAGAAAAAAAGATCTCCAGTTCTGTAAAACGCAAACTTTTTGTCCTGACATGTTGCCGCAAATCTGGTGTGAAATGTTTTCAGGAGATGATCTCTCATCTCTCTTACTAACAGCACAACTGTAACTTCAAACTCTTGAAGCATCAAGGCAGCGAGCACTCCATGGGGTCCTGTGAGTCGGGCAGGAGGTGGCAGTTGAAGGGCCAGCTGAAGGAGAGGAGATCCAGGGCTTGGCTGCATTGCTGCTCAGCTGAAGAGCAAACTGAGCGGCAGGGCTGTAGGACGCCACCCTGAGGGCTGCACTGGGGCAGGAACATCCCACACACCAGCCTCTGCAGGGGTTTGAAGCAGGCCAGCTCCATCAGCACCTGGACAAGAGCACAGGGGCTCAGTCTTTGAAGATTATACATCAGAAACATGAGAATAAAGGTAAATTAGATACGCTGTGAAGGTGGCTTTTACCCGGTACTGTCGCAGAAGTGTGGCAGCTTCTCTCTGATCAGCAATGGACAGCCAGATGTTTGGGAATGAGGTGAGGTTGTAGCTGAGGCCCTGGCACATCTCTACCTCTATAAACTCACATGATGAAGCTGAGGGTATGGCAACAAGAAATCATTGCTTTGGTATTCAGAGAATCAGAATTCATAGTCTAATTCTCAAAGGAAGTTATGATATAATCTATTTAGTTATTTTGATAAGGACTGATTTTGGTTTTAGAGTGATTTCAACAGCAAAACTCTGGAAACAGAAACTACTGTATCTATAACAGTCTGATCGGGGTCAGAGATAACAGGGACTCACTGAAGGGAGGGTAGGTGGAGTTGCCACAGCCCTGTTCATCTGCTCCGTCAGGGCAGTCGTTCCATCCATCACACAACCACTGCGGCTGAAGACACTCCCCTGTACTGCAGGCAAACTGCCTGGGACCACATGTCCCTTTAGATAAAGAAAAAAAAACAGGAGAGTTATGGTAAGATAAAGGAGGCTGTAAAGAGCAAAGGAAAAAGGATAGGGAAAAAAAGAAAGTAACAGCCACTAAATGATTTTAAGGGAGGTCAACAAAGCTTCAGGTGTAAACTTTAAGGAAACGGAGAAGGACAGAAAGAAAGGAACCAAAGAAGGAAGAAGGACCAAAGAAAGGCATTACAGGAAGAGAGGAGGGAGAAACAAGAAGTCAGAAAGTAAAACAAAGTATGAAAACAAGGATTAGAGGCAAATGAAATAATAAAGGCACCAACAACACAAATGAATTAACTTCACAAAAGCAAGAACTCACGGTCCAGTACAGACACAGCCTGATATGTTGCATTGAAGCCGCTGTCGGCCACTCCCTCATCAGCCACAAACACCACAGTCATGTGGGGGCCAGAGGAGGTCAGGTCTGGTGGGAAGGTTGTACCACAAAACCTGAGACAAAGGCAGAGGAAATAAAAGATGCTTCAGAACGTTGTGGTTGTATAACTAGCACAAACAAAGACACATTTATTTACCCCCAATGTACAGGATTTAAACAACAGAAAATATAGCAGAGTAATATAAAATCTGATATGCAGATAATGAAAGATCAAGGCTGTTGATGGTCTCACCTTCCCAGGACTCTTCCAGCTCCGGTGTCGACACTGTCGTGCACCTCCACGTAGTCAAACTCACACACGTCCTGAGTCTCCAGGCTGAAGTTCGTGAAGCTCAGTGTGATGACGTGTCCCTCCTCAACAGATAGATACCATATACACAACTAATGGAAGAAGAAGAAGAAGAAGAAGAACTGGGGTTAGGCAAAGCCAACAAGACAGCCACTTCAGACAGTGTTTAGCAGGCCATAGTGGTTTTGAATATACCTGCTGGTGAGGATAAGGCTTTGGGTGGTTTGGACTTGACAGGTAACCATAAGGACCAGTCTTCTGCCCACCACATTCTGTAAGTAGAGTTCACTCTTGAGTCTTACGACCTTTTCAAGTGTGTTTTGATTTACATTTCTGTTTTTAACTCGGTTTCCACACTTTTACCCTTGTGTTTATGGCTGCAGTTTGCCTCATCTGTTTGGTCGTGGCAGTTTGGATGACCGTCGCACACAGACACAGGCAGCAGACAGCGACCACTGTCACACATGAACTCTTCTCTGGAGCAGCTCTCTGTGAGTACAGACATGCGCCGATGCACATAAATCCATATGAGAATGAGCAGCAGTATACATGCACTTCCAGATTCCTACTCACTGTGTCCGGGCAGTATGGCCCTGTACTGAGCTGTGAAACCGGTGCCTGCAATGCTGCCATCAGAGCGAAAGGTGACCCACACTGTGCTGCTGTTTGTGTTGACTGTTGGTGGTGCTACGTTACCACAGAACCTGCAGGAGAGACATACAGGCCTTTTATTGTATTTCACAGCTTTGGAGTTGCCACTCGTGTCTGAACTTTGCACCATAAATTCTTAAAAGGATTTGTGAGAAGGAGTTGACTAACATTTTTGCAGTTTCATGAATCATGTTACGACACTTTCCAAGAATACAAATAACCAAAATGGTCAAAGTATTCACATGAATTGAAATCTTTCCAAGAAACCTTCAGTACCAAGAACTACCCTATAATAATCATGCACAGCCCTTTAGTGCCATCTACCAGCAAATGAAGGTAATGACATGAACCCTAACAATTTTCCCTCAGGCAGAACATGCATAAAAATTATACCTTGATGAATTTGTTTCTCTTAGGTTTCCAGGATCGACAAGCATACAGGCTTGAGTTGAATTTCAGGGCTGTGACATTCGTATACACTCAGATGTGTATTTGCCAGAACACATCCATACTTTGCCTCTCAACACTTAAACTACTTTGGTGAAAGCAGAAACATCTTACATTTATAGGCCTTTCTGAAAAGAGTGACAACATGAGACAAGGCAACCAAAAATAGTGCAAAGTTCAACTTGTGTCATGGAAACTGACAAAGGCCCTTCATTCAAGACCATTCATGGTGCTCGCTGGGGTCGCACCAACCTGGTGACCACAGAGCTCTGCTCCGTCTGCTCCTGCACCTCCAGCCAGTCAAACAGGCAAGGAGACGGTCCCTCCACAGTCAAATAGGAAACATGGATCTGAACCAAGGAGGGGGGTGGGACTCTGATCACCCACACACACAGGGAGTTGGGGGGGTAGGAGCCGGGGTGGTTTGGAGAACTGAAACTGCCTTCTGAGTCTGTCAATACACCTCCACAACCTGACAAGACAGAAAGGAATACCTGGTCTCAGTTACACAAAGATGACAGGACGTCCAGATTAAGAAATGGTAGCATTTGTGTTGGGTAGACATGAAATTGACCATGCTAATTTTGTATACCACATGTCAATATTAGAGTAAGTGGGCATATTTTTTGAGCCGCCTACGTGTTTCAAACAAGGGGACCCTCGTGGGCTGTGGTGCGGCTGTACTGTCCCGCTGACTTCTGTTGGAAGGGATTGTGGGTAAAATATGCGACTCTCCATCTCCTGCATTCAATATGTCTGGAGGGCCGGTGGACAACACCTGATCCTCCACTGCCTGGTCTTTTATCTCTAAACCGGGGAGAACACAAACACACAGGATGGAAACATGACAGGATGTCTGATCAGATTCTTCCCAAATAGAAAAGTAATTAATTCTTGCACATATTGAGAAAAAAACAATGTACTTTAATTATTGTAATTTACAGTAATGACTGATTCGAGGTGCAGCAGTGACTCACGTGTGAGGATGAGGGCCAGCGCAAGTCCAAGGGCCGCTAACAGGAGCAGAGCAGCAGCAGAAACAGCCACCATCCCCCAGCCACAACCTGGCGCCCGCAGACGCATTACACACACCCCAAACAGACCCCAGCCTAGGCCTTAATGACAGAGCACACACACATTTACACACAAACTTTTTTTTGCATGTAATTTAGATGGTATTTCCCTTTCCCTATTTTCATTTGAACCTAATTGGTGTTAAAATGGCATCACGTATGGTATTAAAGAAGATCATAGACTTTAAGTGAATTCTTCAAAGCCTAGAGAAAGAAAAAGTCACAAACTGCAACAACATTTCACAGTGAATCAAAATGAAAGCTAAATATAAACTACTGGACTTTGGCTGGTTTTGCAACCGGAAAAACTGCAGTCATTGTGTAATTTGATCATGTTTTTATCTTAGTTTACTAAAGTGTTTACTCCCACAAATGTATGATACTGTTTTCAGTTAAATGGAGTCTCGTGTTGGGTTTGTAAGAGACAGATTTTAAAAATTAATAATCAAAATTAGACAGCAGAGGCCAAAATACTTTTAGTTTCCAGTGTGGGTCAAACTCTGAAAACACTGGGCCCTAAAAGTTTCCCATAATGTAACTGGGTAGTGTCTTTCATTTTCCTTCCCTGGTAAAGACCAATGTCCTTCAAGCTCCACACCTCCAGTTTGTAATACTGGCTGAGATAACCCTGATGACATCACTATGAAATCATCAGGGTTATTTTCCCACAGAGGACATAATACAGCTGTTTTCAGAGGTTGAGTAGGACAAACCACAACCAGTAAACCAGATCTTTGACATGTAAAATTGGTGGAGTGGCCGTTTTAATCCTTGGCGGAAAAGTGAAGTCAAGTGATCCAATAAAGTTACTTATCCAATACATAGACACACACAGCACTCGTGTTTAGTCACAGATAGCATGCTGATTGGCTGACTCACTAGCTGCTGGTGGTTTGATTGGTTCAGGGGTGGACGAGGATGTCCGGAAGCCCTCCACTCTCTCCTCTCGCTCCCCTTCCAGCTCAAACGCAGGGTTGCAGAAAACATTCTGTGAGAAGCGGAACGGGGAAAAGTGGAAATGAAAATGACAAACTGTCAAAAAAAAAAAAAAAAAGGAAAACGTCATACAGTTACAGTTACACCTAAATATATTCTTCCTCTTTTAAAGGACAAGCAATTCATAAGCATTGAAACACACCTTTACTTATTTGAGCACACTTTGCGGTTTTGCTGCTACAGTTTTACTTGGTCTGATATGACCAGTAGCTCGTGGTTGCTAATGTTAGCTAATATTAACAAACTTCAGATAAATATCGCCATGTAACAGACATTACTGAGTGATTTTGCTAACTTTATATGGGGTTTATTTACCTCCTCTCAGTCAGATCACCTAATGATGTGAACACAACATTGACATATTATCATCTTTTAAGTTGTAATAGCAAACTTTTTACCAAACAGTTGCTTATTTCCACATTCAGCAGTTATGGAGCAGGATTAGCATTTATTTGGAGTTGTGTTTTTGGCGTCCTGGCAAATATAAGTCCAACAGTGGTGTGCCATTAAGACAAACAAGCAAGCAGTGCTCTAAAGCTAAAAATGGACACCTGGATACCAACATGAGTGAGCGAGAATGAACCAAAACATTGGACTTGTGGACCGAACAGGTCTTGGGAACTGTAGCTCCAACCTGCTATCATCATGTAAGTGCTGCTTGTGGCCACAGTGGCCACTGTTCAGCAAAAATTATATGGTCTCGTTTTAAACACTAACCCACAGTAGTTACAGTTACAATGGCCATACAATGGTTTCTGGCCTAACCACACAGCTGAGACGTAGGTTTGCGATTCATAAGACAATACTGTGAACACAGCCACATTAACCTATCAGGGGCCCTGAGCCAAATGTTGCACACCCCAAATGAATTAATTAAGGTCATTCTTTACCTTGTTTTGACAATGTCACACTAGCTTTCTCTTGTGATTTCAATCCTATCATGGTCTTCATCGGGAAAATAAGTTGAAAGTGAAATATAATGATATAAAATCAGCCTGTGAGTTTGCAAAAGATCCACCACTAGTGAACAGACTCCATCTGCAGATGTAGACCATGTGGTAATGGTTGAAAGCTCTGGAAAAAAAGTTTTTAAGTGGACCTTGAATTGTTTTTCACCAGTGGACTCTAAATGGACTTATCCAACCTCTCATCCTTACTCACCTTGTAAATATCTGAGGAGTCTGAGTATACAGCGACTTGGCTGAGGTCAGACATCTTAATCTGTGGTCCCCTCTCACAGGGAACTCTAGTCAGTCCTCCTCTTCTCAAAGAGCCTGATATTGGGATAAATGCATCCAGGATGACACTGTGATGGAGCCATTTCTCTATGAGAAAGTGTTAACAATGTTTTCCTGGGTTTTCTTATCATTGTTCACTTTCTGCTCCGACTATAGGTTTCCACTGTAGGGTAGAAAGCTTGCAACCTCCTCCTCCAGCAGAGCATAGCAGAGCCCTTTGTTGGACATCTATCAGCATAATCCAGGTAAAAATTAAAAATAAAAACACAACATAATGCACATCAAATAATGTTCAAACTCCAGTCATCAAAATATCCTTGTTTGCTGCTATTTGTCCTTTTGTCTAGTGTAGCACAAGCAGCACCGACCTGTGTTTCTCTTGTTTTTTGATGGTGTGTGAGTGGTTACAAAAGAGTTTTAGAAACTCCTTCACAGTGCTGAACAAAGCCGAGTCAGCTGAGAGGACTGAGCACCAAGGAGGAGGAGGAGGGAGGTGATAGGGAAGGGGAGAAGGGGTGAGGGTGGAGGTAGAGCTGGGGATCCCTGTTAAATCTCTATAATCCCCGTAATGATCTTTTAAGCTTCTAAAATGTTTTATTCACATGCACGCTTGCAAACCTGAGCGAGCAGGAACACAAACACAAAAAATGCTAAACATTGGCACAAAGACAACACAGTTTGAGTCATTTAGAAATAATTCTGGGTAATTAGGCATCAAAAACAACAACAGTGCTGGGATGAGGTTTGGTTTGGGAATGGTGAATAACAGCTTGAAGTGCTCAAGAGATTTGAAATTGCATTAGTTTCACAAAGCCGGCTCATGAAATTGCAGTTGAGTTTCCTATAATAGATTTTTATTTAAAAGTTTTCGAGCAGCTTTATATTAGGAAGTAATATAAAAAAATGTCACCAAAGAAATATCAGAATCCTAAAGCAAGAGAACAAGAAAAACCTAGTCCAACCAGAAATGAAAGTAACAGCTCAAATCTGTGTCCTGTTCTATATTGCTCAATTCCTCCTTCTCTTTTTGCTGCTGCTGTGTTAATGGGTAATCAGTCATCAAATAAAGCACCCTCCTGCAGGTCAGTGCAGACACTGTTGCTGTGATTTCTGTCACTCAAAGACACAAACCCAGCTGATACAGAGTCCAGTCATGTATGTCAAGTCTATACTGTGGATCCTGCTCTTCTTCTTTGTTCAGGAGGGTGAGCATTTCAACTCTATTTTTATTTGTTGTACATTTTTGTGAGATTATGTCACATTCATATGGCTCTGTGCCATATGCCTGTGTTGACGCATTACATCTGTGCGCAGAGATTCATGTTTATCACCAACATGTCTACTGTTTGTGCTCCAGTGTCCCTGCTGGAGGTAGAGTATAATTATGAAGATGAGATATACGACGAGCCACAGCCTCTGAACTGTTCGACTACAGAGAGCATCAAAGATGGACATGTCACATACTCACAGGTAAAAATAACACACTGTACATTAGAGCTGACTTGATTAATTGATTAGTCGATTGACAAAGAATTTAATCACCAACCATTTTGAAACACAAACAAACACTCTCTGGTTCCAGATTCCCCAAAAATCAGGAGTTTCTGCTTTTCTCTGATCAGTCATTTTAAATCGAATATCTTTTCTGTTTTCAAATTATTGGTCAGACAAAGAGATAATCTTGGACCCTGTAATTTTTTTCACCTAACAATAATATATTGATCAGGAGAATAATCCTTTGATCAATCTAGAGTGAAAATAATCAACTGTACAACTTCAATTTGACATCAGTTAGGATACAAGTGTTAAAAGACCAAGATGTTTGCTCCTTAAAGAGTATACATGTAATTTTTTCAGCCCCGCTGCCTTGATGTAATTGTTCCTTATGTGTTAACCTTTTAAAATACTGCACCCCCCCCCCATGGGACACTCTGACATTGGTAGCGTTACTTTAGATCGTCTGCACTGGACTCAGACTTCGCTTAACCTTGACAAATTAGACATCATTTTGAAAGCTTTATGTGTCTTCACTCTATCTGTGCAAAGTATTTTGAATACAATTTATGTTTAAGAGGCTAATAAGAGACACGTTAAACACTGCAAAACAGGTTACACGGAACTCAACAAATCAGGGACTACAGGGACAAAAAGAGGTAAAATGAAGAAAAGTAAAAAGTATTATATTAAACTATGTCAGACATAGTGATTTAAAAAAAAAAAAAGAAGAAAAGTGAAATGCAATATAAATTCAGTAGAAAGTATAAAAGTAAATTAGATTTTTTTTAAATTCATACAGTAACAAAATAATATAATACCAGTTAACAGGCTGATAACAGAAAAATAAAACTCTGCAAAAGAGAGGTTTAGAAAGCCCTCAACCAAAGTGCAGGGGCTGAAAGTAGGTAATGAGAGAAAAATGTCATGCAAGCAAAACTGCATTAGGAAGATATTTGCCGGATGGCCTGGAAAGTGAAACTAATAAAGTATCTTTTTACTGGAAGTCTTCATGTGACTTAATTTAACTCCATAAGTGACCACGTGTTTCCTCCGCAGGGGGGGCTGGAGGGCAGTGTGCTGACCTATCACTGTGGCCCGGGGAAATACCCTTTCCCCATCAGCCACAGGTCCTGTGGTGCGGATGGGGAGTGGTCGCTCATGAGATTATCCGATGGCAGACCGTTGTCACGGGCCACATGCAAAGGTAATGTTGTAGATGGTGATGCATTCAGTGTCATATGTACATAAAATGACTCTGCTGTTCTGTCTGACTTTTCTCTCAAAGCGCCACTGTGATTTTCTCCCCCCGTTCTTCTCACCCTTCCTTTCTTCCCTGTGTTCTCCTCTCCTCATCCTCCTTCCTCTTCTCTGTCCATCCTTCTCTCTCCCTCTCTCAGATGTGATGTGTCCAGCTCAGCTCCAGCTGGATAATGGTGAGTTCTGGCCCAGGGATCAGTGGTTCCGTGTTGGGATAACGCAGAGCTTCTCCTGCATGGAAGGGTTCACTCTGTACGGGTCAGCTGAGAGGAACTGCACCGTCACTGGAGAGTGGACAGGAACCACTCCTGTCTGTGACAACCATGGTGAGGAAGAAACCTCACCTCAAACAAACCATGTCTTAAAGAGCCTTTGTGCATCATTTCAAAGTGCAACATGATCATCATCTATTGCAACTAAAGTTCTATCCCAAACATTTCTATATAGCACAAACACAAATAACATTTTAAAAATAATTTGTTATCACCTTAAAAATTCTGTATTTAGTCCACTGTCGCCTTTCTGTCTTTAAATGCAGCTGACGACTGTAATGACCCAGGCGTCCCACCGGGGGCCCAGCGGTCAGGCCGGTTTCACACTGGAGAGAAGGTGGTCTATCGGTGTCAGGCTGGTCTCACTCTGCTCGGGTCGGCTGAAAGGGTTTGCCTGGAGAACACGGAGTGGAGTGGCTCAACACCTCGGTGCCAAGGTGTTTTAAATTTACGTGTCTTTCCTTTAAAACAGCAAACAATTCCTTTTTTAAGACCAAAAAAAGACTTAAAACCTCAATTAGTTTTCTGTTACTGTTACATCATTACAGCAGTACCAAAACAGTCCACAGTAAATTATCACATTATGATCAAATATGCATGCATGCTATCTTTGTGCTTTACTGCAGGCCTGAATACCTTTGACTCCCCCAGCGCTGTGGCCGAGGCCATGGCAGGGTCGCTTGCAGGAGTCATGGATGTGGTCTCACCAGACTCCAAAAAGAAAAGTGAGTATAACTTGTATCTGTGTCTGGAACATATTGCCGATGGTGTGAATGTTGCTGCACAAACAACTTTTAAGTGCATGTACATAAAGTTGTTTAACAAATATTTAAAGCAACCAGCTGAAGTCAACTGCAATGTGCAATGTGTGTGTGTCTATGTAAGCTGCAAGGATGTCCTTTGCCCGAACCGTCCGCGTGGCTCAAGGCAGTCGTATGAACGTCTTCATTTTACTGGACACATCAGGAAGCATCACAAAGGAGGAGTTTGAATTATCTAGGGGTGCCACCATTGCTCTTATCAGAAAGGTCTGTATCAGTTTTATTTGACTTAACAAGAGATGTGGGTAAAAGACAAAGGTTTACACTGGGCTACCAGTTTGCCTTTCATCCTCCATCAGTGAGTGTGAAACTAACATCTAACATCTTCATTTTCGTTCCAGTTGGACAGCTACGAGGTGCAGATCAAGTTCCACGTGTTGTCATTTGCCAGTGAAGCTATAGACATTGTGGACATCAGAGACACAGATATAAGTAGTAGCACTGAGGACGTCATACATTATCTGATGGAGTTTGACTACCATAGTAAGACTCCGCTTGTTATTCTTTCATTCATTTAAGGTCTGAAGTTGACAACCATGATGCACCAGTCTGTTCAATGGTTAATTATCAATTTATGTTTCAATCATTCAGTCTTCTGTATTTGTTCATCTGCAGGCCATGGGAGTAAGACGGGCACCAATTTGCACGCGGCGCTGCACCGTGTCAATGAGATGATCAGCTTGTTAAAGGAAAAACGTGTCGACAACCATTTTCATGAGACTCAGAACATCATCATCATACAAACAGACGGTAAAGACAAACTCATGCTCAGAAGCATCTGTCAAGCATCTCATGCTTGTCAATAAAAAGTGAAAAAAATAAAACTTTTTCAACCCTCTTAGATGTTTGGTGAACCATTAGAGCTCTATTGATATCATTACTATTTCTATTGGGTGTTTTTCTTGCAGGTTACTCCAACACAGGCATCAATCCTCAGAGAGCTCTGGCCCAGATCAGGCATGTGCTCGGCTACAGCACAACAGCCCACGATCACACTGAGGAGGCAATGCTAGGTAGCACGCTAACAAAACAAAACAAAACAAAACAAAAATCCATCTAACCAATTATATGTATCTACATCTATATCTATATCTAAATATGTGTGTGTGTTTTCAGATGTCTATGTATTTGGTGTTGGGGAGCGAGTGAACAAAGATCAGCTGAACTCTTTAGCCTCAAAGAAACGTGACGAGCATCACGTCTTCATTCTGGAAAGCTATGAAACACTGGGAAAGGTGTTCAACAGCATCATTAGTAAGTAAGAGATTGCTCCATCAACTGCCAAGGTGTTTTATGATTGCAGGTCAGTATAACATATTTTCATGATGCAGGTGACAAGAGTGTGACGATGTGTGGAGTAGCTCAGGAACACGTCTTCAGCGAACAGGTGAAAGGTGAGGTAACAGTCTACACCAAGCCCTGGCACGTCATTCTGACAGCAGTAAGAGCCTTGCACACACTCAGTCACTAAGTCACTTTTCCTATTTCATATTTAGAGTGGGTTTTCACACACACACACACACAACACTTTCTTCCCTTGTAGCCTGAATGGGGGCGTGACAAGTGGTGTTCTGGATCCATTGTGAGCCAGAACTGGGTGCTGACAGCTGCTCACTGCTTTGCCAAAGCCAGCACAGACAGAGTCTCTTCCCAAGTGGACATAGAACACGGTCAGTGTCAATATGCGAGAGTATTTTTGGAGATGGGGATTGCTATGTTGGCGCACTTTGCTACTTTCTTTAAGATTAAAAGGTTGGTGATCCTTTAATGAGTTTGGGAGCTGGGACACTGATATACCTGCTTGTTTTTAAACATTTTTAACAATATATTTTATATATAATTATATTTTTTCACCAAAATTGTACTGTTTTGCAAAAGATTTGTTGGCACACTTGCAATACCAAATCCCAATTACACTAACAGGAGAACTTTTCCAGCATGTTATCCCTGTAGGAATCAATCCATAAACTCTGACAGTGTTAGCACCTTCCCTAACTCATACGCAACACTACACTGTAGAAAATTGTAGTTTTAGGTTAAGGTTTAAATTTCTACCTGTTCACTTCAAGAACGTTGAATCTTGTTGACTTCATACTGAAACCAGCTGCTTCTCTGGTTCCCAGGTGATGGCACAGTGAAGTCCAGCAAGGTGATCATGCACCCCAATTATAACATCAAGGCACTGAGACACAGAAATGTATCTGAGTTCTATGACTATGATGTAGCTCTGGTGCAGGTGAACAAGAGTATCCCGCTCTCCTGGAAGGCCAGGTGAGACAGCCCAGAGGAAAATCTGCAGCCTTGTATTTCCATCCTTTTTTAACCTAGACAAAGGGAAAATGTACAGTATACAACCAACATAAATTTATTCATAAGTGTCATTCTTGAGTGTGTGTATACCATGTCATATTACAGACCCATCTGCTTGCCATGTACCGTACCAGCCAGCCGAGCCATGAAAAAGATCAACTCTACCTGTCAGCAGCACAGTATGTGACCTTTGACCTTAACACTCTCTAACGAGAACACAATGTTAATAATGTATTATATCAAATACAAATCTGACTAAAGGTCCTGAATAAACTTCTCAGTAAAATGAATGTGTGTGTATACAGGGGAGGAACTACTACCAAAGGAGGAGACTGCTGCCTTTTTCATCCATAAGAAAACAGAACGAAAAGAAACACATTTTCACACAAAGAGTCAGGTGAGCCGCGATTCAGACTGTGGCCTGCTTTCATGCTTAAACTCAACAATGTGGTGGAAATACATTGTTTTATATATATGTATATAATGCACTTACTTGTTTGGCTGTCTGCAGAGGCCTGCCTGTGTGGAGAAGGCAAAGCTAACACTTAAAATGCCCACCGATGTGACCTTGGACGAGTATGTACCTGACAGATTCCTCTGCTCCGGGGGCACCTCCGGATATGAGGACGCAATCACCTGCAAAGGTGTGGATTCTGCGCTTACTGTATGATAGCCACCATATTACAAGATTCACATTACAGTTACGTGTTGTCTCTTTTTGGATAGGTGACTCTGGTGGATCCATGTTTCTGCAAAAAAGAAATCGCTACTTTCAGGTCAGAAAGTTTCTCCTCATCGATAAGAGCCTGATCACGCACAGTGTAATCAGCATCATATTGACTTTTCTCCTGTTTTCAACCCCAGGTGGCCGTAGTAAGCTGGGGCACCATAGACATATGTGACCTACTCAACCCAGCTATGAGAGCGCGCAAGAGGAACAAGCCGTCTCCTGATGCGCGAGACTTTCACATCGACCTCTTCGAGATAATGCCGTGGCTGAAACAGCATCTGGGTGAGCAGATCCAGTTCCTGCCTGAGATCAACTGAGTTGATCCAGAATCAGTCTGTGCAGGTCTACTCGGACTAAGCCATAATAACGCAATTCAGAATTCCACAGCTCTTGTGAATTGATGACTTATTTTTCCACGACATGAGGGAATAATCATAACAAATCTCAGATAGTAATATCAAGTGTTTTTCTAATCCTTTATTGTCTAAATGAATACCAATGATTTCTAAAGCTGCGACGCAGTAATCTTACGTGTAAAGGAAGACTTTATTGTTAACAAATCCTAAATAACATATAAAAGGTAATTCTGCTTGATTTGTTTTCCATTTTATTCTTTCTAAACACAACATATAAAACACATGCATAATGAGGTCCTGAGGCGCACACATAACAGAAATGTATCTGTACATTCATATGGGTATAACACTGAATGGAAGGATGTGATTCTGCGCTCTATGTCTAGTTAACATCACCGGTCTTGGTCTGTAGTTAGAGTCAATTAGCCAAACAGTAATCTTATAAGCCAGGATGTACAGAGACTGCACAGATGTCAGCGTCGAGCCCATACACCTGGCTGAAATGTAAAAAGAAAAAAAAAATCATGCTGGTGTTAGAAAGCCAGCTGTCCAATCAGCCCTCAGAAAACTGTCTAAACAGCGTTTCTGATTGGCTGTCTTTGAAGTTTGGGACAAAGTGGATCTGGAGGATCTCGGAAAATCCCTCAGAGAGAGCGGGAGCCACAAAGTGTTTCCTTTCCAGAGAAAGAGAGAGGGAGAGGGGTCAGAAAAATATCTTGTCTGAAAATTTCAGCTAACACTATAAAATCTACAATGTTTAGTTTGTGTTAATGCCAGGATTCAAAGCCTACTGAGTCAATATAGTTAACAAGCTTACTTGTAGCTGTGGAAAATCATCTCATTGACCTTGACATGTTTGCTATCTGATGGAGCCATTTCACGGAACTGGGAACAAGAGTAATGCATTAAAACAAAGACACACACACTATTCATGACCAGCCAAGATAAAACAAAACAGAGTGGAGAGGTGAATCATACCCTGTTGTTGTGTTTGGCTTGCTCCAGAGAGGCTGAAAAGTGGAAACAACGACAGGGCACTCCTGCTGCTTTGGCCACGTCCACGTATCTGGAAAATTCCATATTGGTTAGACAGAGAAAAACAAATGCACATACAAGCAGCAGTAGTATACACAGTACATGTTTTTGTGCAATATCCTGCTGTGTTTGAACCAGGTTAAAAGGTATACAGGGGATTAACATGACTGTTCTTAGCTGAATGATATGCATTCTACACAGTAAATGCTAATACAGCTGTGCTTTACCGTTTGCGAGACTCAAGGTCTGGGCTGGTGTTGTCAACGGCAACACTGCGGCCCTCCTTCAGAGCGCGCTCACACGCCGACACACAGCTCTGCCATGAACCGAGTGTGTCCTGACACAGAAATAAAACAAAACAGGGAGGGCTTTAAGGACCGAAAATTAATATGAAATTAATATAAAAACCCTAATGATTGTTATCTTCATCATCTTGGTCATTATGATCATTATTACAACACTTAAGACTTGTGCATCAAATAGAAAAGCAGGAACACAAACATCAGAGTAAAGCATTAGCTGCCATTAATTTTGGAGCCAGAGTCCTGCTCATATAAGGTCCACTCACCCTGTTGACATATGCGTAGCCTTTTGGAACAATATGGGTTTGGAAGAAAGTGGATTTTCCCGCTGCAGAGAAAGGGAAGGGTGAACAAGATAAGGAGGATGTTGACAGGAGGATTAACCAGAAAAACAAGCTGTGATACATCGTCCACTTTCACTTACATGCGGGGAAACCCACGGCAACAATGACTTCTGTCTGGCTGGATGTGAGTGAGGCCGATGGCGGGTCGTACAGCCTGACAGTGGAGTCAAGCTTCCTCTAGCAATTCAGATAGAGAGAAACATTTACATCAATACAAACAGACATACATTTAAGAAAAGAAAACACAGTACACACCCATCGCTCATTGTACTCACAGGGTCAAAATCAGGCAGGCTATAGGGGGCGCTCTTCCAGCCCAAAAAGTACTCCTCAGGGGTGTGGAACTGCAAGCCAATGTTCAGAGCAAACTACAAACACAAGAAGGAAGACAGTAACTGGTACACACACTGCTCAGGTTTTAGCATTTATCTCCATAAAATGGTATCATGGAGAAACATCGACTCACAGTTAAGACTTAAGATACACAATACCTCAAAAAGAAATTAGCACAACTGACCAGAGTAAGAATCTTAGGTCTTACCAGTCGGTCACTGCTGGAGAAATCCTTCTTCTTCTTCCCTGGAGCCCAGTTCTCTGGTCTACCTGCAGCATCTGTGCACAGAGGTAAAGTCAGAAGCAGCAAAAAGCCTCCAAATTTATGCACTTTGAAGAGGTTAATTCTAAATCACATCTGGACTCAAGGTTAGGGGTTTACAGTAGTAAGGTTAGGTGTAACACTGAGGAGATTTCAGGTAGTTAGGGACTGACCGGGTTAAGATCTGGGACCATTTTTGGGTTTAGGGGAAAGGATGGAAGAAAGATTGAACTAAAAGCTTGGATTTCCATATGTGCATCTGAGTGATATCAGATCAGATAACTGAGAACACATACAGTAGCTACCTGTAAGTATGGGCTGATTTTATCAAGTCCACTCACCTCCTACATAAAAACTCTTTCTCTTGTCAACAGTGACTCCATCATTAGCCTATGCAGGGAAAACACAGGCAGACACACTTAATTAAAACAAAAACACACTGTTCATAGTCAAACATGCAGAAACAAAAGTAAACAATGTGAGGAATAATCAAAGGGCGGTTTCTATGACTATCTAATTCATGTAATTTATGTTCATCTCAGTGCAAATACTGTATATGAGGGTGTGGTTCTTATAAAATACAGGTTTGATCTTCGATCTCGACTGACAATTACCTTCTCACACAAGTGATTCCACATTCCCATAACTGGTTTCCTGTAGATACCAGGACCGGCTGCTACAAACACCTGAGACACAGACACAGAGGGCATCCAAACATCTGCTTTACGTACAACATCTGCTTAAGTGCTAAGAGTCAGTCTCCATTATAGCGAACCTGCACAGATAGCTGCAGCGTGGTGAGGATGTCCTCCACTTTAGACTTGAAGATTTCTGGTCTCAGTTTGCCTCTAGCGATCCCCATCTGGTTGGTGAAGAACACCACCTGCAAGGAGAGAGCAAGGGGTAGAGTAGGAAATCCAGTGGCAAACACTGCTAGAGGACATACAATTCAATCATATCTCACTGGCTTTAATCTTGCAAAGTTCACTAAATATTATTAGCTCACCTTATATCCTTTTTTGAGTAAAGCGGCCAGTCTGGGCTGAATCTCTGGGTACAGAATCCTGTAATCACAAGGATGATTACAACAAATCATGCAGATATGAGATATAATCTATAAGCCACTGATGGTCATGTATCGCACTTCTTAACAATAGCAAATAGGAACATTCAGGAGTGTTGACATACTTCCAGTCATCTGGTGCAGTGGGAAAAACTTTCCCTGACTTGGTGGTGATGATGCAGCCATCTATGTCAAACCCAGCAATCTGGAGGTGGAGAGGAGAAGGGGAACTATTCAGACAATTTCAAATACGCTGGATGATATCACCAGCTTTATAACCTGTAACACAAACTTCTAGAAGGTATAGACATCATTTGAAATTCATGACCTTCATCTCCCAGAAATCATGTAAGGTGATGTCAGTAAAGCCCTACACAGCATTTCTGTGTTTACTGAAAAAAGTTTACAAGAGCAAAAGATTGTGTATCACTGGTGTTTAGCAGCAGAAAATAAGGCTGCTGATTATTTTCTCGAATAATGAATAATTAATTAATCGTTTCGTTTGATGTATAAAACATCAGAAAAAGTAAAAAATGCCTTCTACAGTGTCCCAGAGCTCATGTATTTTGTATTTAACTGTCTTGTTTTGTCCAACCAACGGTCCAAACCGAAGATATTCAGTTTACACTGATGTAACTTTGAGAAAAGCAACGAATCATGACAATTAAGAAGCTGGAATCAGTCAATTTTATTTTCAGTTTTGCTTGAAAATTGAGTTACTCTGGGATTGGGGATTCTTTTTTTTTTTACATAAAACACTGAAACAGTTCCCACCTTGTCACTCGCTCTGACTCCAGCAGCAGTATAGAGCATCAGGTTGCCTATCTGCTGCCAACTGCTCTTTACACAGGCCTTTGATGATGATGGTGATGAAGAAGATGAAGGCTGGGTGCTGTTACTCCTCTCTGTCGTGGACTTCTCAGCCAACTCCTGCAGCTGCTTGAGCTTTTCCTCTGCCAGTCTCTCCTCCTCATCCTCCTCCTCTTCTTCTTTCATCCAACCATCCGAGGCCTCCTCCTCCTCTACCCTTTGGCGCTTCACCTCAGGGTGCCCCCTCTCTGGGCTCAGTCGTCTTTTGGATGACTGAAGAGAAGAGTGAAAAACACACTGTTTATCATTTTCTGTTTTCTGACTTCAAATGATAAATGTCATCTTTGTAGTAACATTACAGGAATAAACAAATAAGATGCATAAAATAATGCAAAAAATAGATTTAAACTCAGTAAACAAAAAGCACTAAATGTGTTACCTTTGTGGGGGAAGTAGAAAAGAAATCCTTTATGCTGCGTTTAGGTGTCGGACTCGACTGTTGTTCTTTCACTTTTCCGTTCCTTCCTCCTTTAGTCTTATCAGTGGCTTTCAGCCCTCTCTGTGCAGAGCTGGAGGCTGTACCATTTGAGCTCAGGGAGTAGTGTAGTTGAAACGGATGGTTCTGGTTAACCAGGTAGAGAGTGCCTCCATGGGCGAGTTTACCAGACTGGCCCCGGCCCAGCTTCTCACCGTCCAGGAAACTGGGATTGGGACCCAGCTGAGGTGGAAAACAGGACATGTAAGAACTCTGTACTGTAGCATTTATACAATTAGTTTACGGGTTGTATAATGACCTGAGTGGGTCCAGGCAGTAAAGAGAGAAGAGTGCCGACATCACATTTTGATCGCGTCAAATATTAACACAGGAACACTAACTGAATTACAAACTGCAGCACCGTTTGTTTTCATACCTGAGTAAAAACCACATCCTGGTCTGCATAGCAAGCCACCGCCTTCACTGGTGGGAAACAAAGATTAGTACCATCACAAACATATACTCACAGACACACACACATTTCAATATACATATTCATTAAGAGCTGAAATAATTATTTCAGAAAGCAGTTCAGTGATTGTTGGAGAATTAATATACAACAATTTGGAATTTTAAAGTTAATTTTATAAAACAATTTCACTGGGTCCAGCTTTTCATATGTGAATATTCACTGGATCTCTTGGTCTATAATCACAATTAGGTCTAATAAACCTGCAGCTTGAAATTGAAATTGAAATTATATCTATTTTCCCATATGCCATCTTAAAATGTCGTTTGGACCAATAGTCCAAAACTCAAAGATAATATGTTTACAATTACATAAAGAGAGAGAGAGAGAGAGAGAGAGAGAAAGGAGCAAATCCTTATGTTTAATAAGCCTGAACTGCAGATATTTTGCTTTGTTGTTTGAAACGACTCATTTGCGACTCAAATGAATAATCGTTTATCATTTTAATTGTCTGCTCATCCCCTGTGACTTCTCCCATTTCTGTAACTGTTTTATTTGATCAATCTTACTGTGGATTCATATTTCTCTTTCTGTAAAATAAAAGAAAGAAAAAAGGTAGTAAAAGCAGAACTCCCCATGCTGTGTGGAGGTCGTGGGTCAGTCTATGGTAAACACATTTAAGGATGATTGTTTTCTTCTCCCTGTCAGATCTGGAGTGGGCGGGGTTAATTTATTTATTGTTTATACTTGTCGATGGTTAAATAGGTGCTATGCTCTTCCTGGTTTCACTGTGCGTGAAGGGAGGCATTACAGTAGTCCAAGAGAGAGACAACCGTGGTCGGGACCAGGAGCTGGGTGGCTTAATTACGGAGTCCGGTAAGGCCTGATTTTACTTGTGTTGTATAATGCAACGCGGCACGAGTGAGAGACGGGTGTAACATAAGACATTTTCCCCTAAGCTACTTAGCAGTTTTACGCTGCGTTGTATTAAGTAAGTATTACATTATGTTGAACTCTTCCTCACCCTGGTGCCTGGAGCATTTCTTGTCGGCGACCCCGGTCTCCGGACCCCGGCCCAGAATCACAGCTCGTCCGTCCTCTAGAGGGACCCGAGCTCCAGAGGCACCAACCAACGTGCACGACATCCGAACGAACAACCACAGCGAGACGGCAGCTCTACTTTCAGCCAAACCGTGTGTTTGTGAACGACTCGTTCCATAAACCAATGGAGCCGAGACACAGAGAGCAAAACGTTCCCAGCACGTCTTTGCTACGTGTCTTATCAACATGTAGAGTCTCTACTTGTGGCCACAACTTTCTTCGTATTTGAGTTGGTTAGTGAAGAGCACTTGAGTAAACCGGAGGGGGCGTGTTTCTGCGCTGCACCCGCGTTCCTTTGGAAAAACACTCTCGTTGAGAAACTTGCTCAGCTTGAAAGTTCCGCCCTGACTTTTCCAGGAGTCATACAGTGTCCAGTAATCTTACAACTCTGGAATTTAACGTACGTCCACTTGGTGAAATAGTTGTTATTATAAATGTAGTTATTTTTGGTGGACTAATTTAGTGTTATTTCTTGTGCATTTAAGAAGTGTTTTCGGTTTCGGTTTTGAATATCTTGGGTGAAAGGTGGCAATAATTGGGTGAAACGCGTACTGTATGTGCTCCACCCAGTCAGGTAGAAAAGAGCCGAAGAAAAGTAAAGTCAAGACACAAGGCGAAAGAAGATGGTAAAGCCTTTTATGTATAATTATAAATGTTTTCATGTTTTTCTATTTTGTCCATAAGTTGGTTAGAGAAATCCTTTTTTATTTAAAAGTAAACTTTTTATCCACAATTTAAAACACTAAACAAAATGAAAACAAAGATTATCTAAGACTTCTGTTACATAGTCATCATAAGTTTGTTTAATAAACAAAATCACAGATGTGCTGATTGGGTAATTTTACAGACAAAATCTTGTGTAAACATCCATAAATATATATTCCTGTACATTCTCGGCCAGTGTGTCTCCATATTAACACTGAGAATGTTGAAAGACAGGTTTTTTGTCGACAGAACTATCCCTTGTTATTTGATCGGGCTTGCAACAGCCTGTCCTCCCCCCTCTTTTTGTTATTTGCATAAATACTCACTCCCGTTTTTGTGGTCATATATATTCTTTCACTGTCTTGTTGGATAGTGTTCTTGGTCGGGAGTCTGTTTGGAGAACTGTTGTGCTACAGTGTATTACTACAGATAGAAAGACAACTTCACGTTCAGGTAAAAAAAAAAAAAAAATCACTTTATACTTTTAGATAGATTTTGGTTGTAGTAAAAATCTTTTGTCTCTCAACCAGCTATAGATTGACATTTTGTTGTGTTAACTTGATTGTCATGAAAGTGTAATGCATAAACCTTGAGTAGTACTTTTATTTTTTGCTTCTCTCTTTCTATTCCCACAGGACAGCCTGACATATGAAAGATATCTTGGTGTAACTGTTTAAACAACATACATCTGAATCAACTCCTTTTTTTGCCTTCCTGCCCATCACCCTCTTCATCAATCTTCAGAGCCTCAGTCCTTCTCACCATGTCCACCCAGCCCCCCCAAACCCACCATGAAGCAGCATATATGTCCCTTATGAGAGGCTTGCAAGAGCTGGATCTCCATGGCCCCTCTGTTCCCAGCGACCTGGTTCTGATTGGAGACCACGCCTTTCCTTTGGCAATGAACAGCCGAGGCCAGGTCCCGATGGCTGCCTCTCTCTACGGGCGTGGAAGGATTGTGGTCCTGGGTCATGAGGGCTACCTGACAGCTTTCCCTGCTCTGGTAGAGAACGCTCTGACGTGGCTGAGAGGAGATGGATCTGACAACCTGTCTGTGGGGATCCAAAGGAACATCATGGCGGTCGCCGATAACCTCAGCAAAGCCAGCTTCCAGGCCAATGTTGTGGGGGCCTTCAGCAACAACCTGGAGGTTGGTGTATATGTGACGGATGCCTACAGTGTGGGTGCAGACCCAAAGGACCTGGTGGCGTTTCTGAAAGCTGGAGGAGGAGTGCTAATAGCAGGTCAGGCGTGGAGCTGGGCTGCAGATCACCCTAAAGAGAACACACTGCTTCAGTTTGGAGGGAATAAGGTTTCTGGTGTGGCAGGGATCTACTTCTCTGAGCATCCGGGTGAGGTAGAGTGCCTGCCAGTCTATCCTCAAATCCCGTCCTCCTGGATGGCTGTAGTGTGAGTGTATACTGTACTTTTCTTTTATTGCACATTTTAGAGATGTTCCACTTTGCAAAATGACAACTTCTATCTGAAAACTTCTCTACACATATGGCCCTTCTGTTATTACATTATTATTAATATTGACATTTTCACTTTATCATGGAAGCCATTTAATTCAATTATTTTTAGGATGCATTATAATAAATCTAAGAAATAAAAAGCATAACAATAATAAGAATATATGAATAATCTTAAAATAGTTGTTGAGATACCTACCATATAGCTGCGCAGTTCCCGGTTAGATTATAGCCTTTATTGCATGTCACCATCTAAACAAAAACCATAATAAGAATAATTTTTTTGTCAGTCATTAACATATGGTTGTACTTTCATCATACATGCACTCTTACTTATACTCATTGTACTTCATCATACTGAAGCAAAACCAGCCCTATTACAAAGTGTGAGTGATACACTTATTCTTTACTTTAATTCAATAATATACTCTTTCTCCCCCCCCCCCCCCCCCCCCAATACAGAATTGGTAGAGATTTTGAGGACGACTTGGAGTTCTTACTCCAGGGTGTTTCAGAGTTTGACCTCCAGGGTGGAATAATAGTTTCTGAGGTTATGGTCCACGGCCCTCTAACCTTCCCCATCGGTACCACAAAGGATGGACAAGCGTTCCTGGCGGGAGCCTACTATGGGCAGGGACGGGTCATTGTGGTTAGTCATGAAGGACTTCTGGGACGAGAGGTAAAATCTACTTTAAAGATTGGTGTTAAGATTTCTGCCTTGATCGATCAAATTGAGCACATAATGAAATTTTTCTCATATAGTGTAGGTAAAAAATGATCAAATATACAGTAGATAGTGTGATCTCAGTAGATATGATTTCTTTGCATATTTATTTGTCACATATTAACCTCAGACCAGCAGCAGTTGGCTGTCTGTGTGCTAAATAATGAGTGTGCGGATCTGCCAAATCTTTTTACAGGATTAACTGCTGTCTTTGTTTTGAAATTATTCCTGTCATTACAGACTCTGGCTCCATTTTGGAACAATGCCATTCACTGGTTGGATGAAGGCCGGCAGGGGGTCGTTGGTGTCGCGCCTGCTAACGCCCTCAAAGTTCTCAGCAAGTCAGGGCTTCAGTGTGAGAAGACCAACTTCAGAGAAGACCTGAGTGTGTTTGTGTGTACAGCGTACAGCGCTGAGAAAGTGGAGGAAATCCAAAACTTTGTGGCAGAGGGAGGAGGCCTGCTGATTGGTGGCCATGCCTGGTACTGGGCACAGTCGCATGCTGGACAAAACACAATGACAGATTTCGCAGGTAAGATAATGCACCACCTGCCCAGTTCATGATTATATAACATGATGCATGTCAAGCATATTCCAGGCACTGCTGACAGAGACAGGAGAGTCGGCTGTCTGGATGCCTGCAGCGGTGGCAGACTTGATGAGTAAGGGTCAGGTGATGCTCAAAAGTAGTTTGTACGATGTGTTGTTCAACCTCTTCATAAATGTATTTATGTCTGGCGGGGCCAGTCGTGAGGAGGTGTATGTCATTTCAATAACACATTATAACACACACAAGTACACATTCTCAGACGGTCTCTCCTGGAAGGTAATCATAGTGTTACACTCGGTTGTGCAAACAAGAAGTGCAGACAGACAGTTGCATTACAAAAAAAAAGAGAGCTTGTTTGACAAGTTCAAACCCTGTTGGAAAGTTACAGAAATTGTCAGACACAGCCTCCCTTTGTGCGACATTAGAAAGTTTTAGGGGGGGGGGTTCCAAAGATATTTGACCATCCAACAAGCAGTTCTGTAGTGGTATGTTGGCACTAACAAGAGTCAGGCACCTGAGTTGGTTCAGTGACTGCAGAGGAAGGTGCCAAATGGTGCGGGGCTGGAGCAGTTGGCGGCTGGATCATTTCCATAAAGTGGTAGTTAAATGGAGGCAGAATACATTTGAGGAGAAGCCAAAGTACTGAGCAGCAGGAGGAAGGAGTACTGGACAATTGTAGAGAAACTGTAGAGCGGCAGACTTGGCCCAGATAATATGACTTACTTGTGTCCAGGGGTTTCATGTTGGTATGAACCCTTGATGTCAAGCCAGTAGCCGACAGCAGCAGACACACCAAGAAACCAGTGTAAACTCCTGCTTAGAAAGGTTGTTGAACTTGAGGGAACGGGGGGCTTGGTCGATCTCTAAGTAGACGGAAATGTGCAAGGATCCTCACAACAATGCAGGAGAGCCAGTGAAAAGCTTGGTAGTGTCTTGATAGTACAGGCAGTAGCCAAGATGGTAAAGACATTCTGGTAAAGGTGAATGCAAAAAGTGCACGGGCAGTATACATAACCCACAATATAGCACAGCAGGTCAAGTCAGGTTTGCTTCAATGTCTTTCAGGGAACAAGATCCTGAACAAAATGGGCATAAGCCTTTTGGGAGCACCAATGACAGGGGGTTTATTCAAGGCTCCTGTACCCAGCCAGGCCGTCAAAGACACCTACCACTTCCGCCACCTTCTCCGCCGCTTTGCTGGCCATGTGAACAAGGGGGAGGAACTCACCGAGCATGAGCAGGGATCTCTTAAAAAGCTGGGCAGCGACTGCTCCAACTACTTGAACCTGAAGGCTCATGACTGCCCCTCCTATACACAGGTTATGTCCACCCTCACTGATGTCTTACTGAGGTCAGGCATGCCACAGGTGAGTGGACAAAATAAAATGAACTCTTATTAAAACAGTAAAATAAAAAATATTCCAAATAACGTGTTTTTGAGTTGTGCCAAAGAATTATACTGTAGATCATAAATGTTGTATATGGTTATTATATGACAGCTATCAACCAGTCAGATGTTTCAGAACAACATCCTTTATAATATTCATTATTCATTTTCTTTCAAGGTGTGTGGCAGCAGCCCTGTGAAGAGTCCCAAAGACCACCTGCTCCTCAGTGTGGGGACAGAGTTGTATAAGGTTTGCCCAGATCCTGACGCTCTCCTGCCTCACCTCATCAAGGATAACCCGTTGATGCCAGTTGTCTATAACCACAGGATCATGATTAATGTTAACACAGCAGGTCAGATCTTGTTTTTTGTTGACAAATCTATCAAATACAGTTGTTACGAGATCAATATGTTCAATATGATCAATATGTGAAATATGTCTTTTAGATTTTATACGTGTAAATACATGAGTATAACTTTGCTGCTGCTCTGTGTGTGTGTGTGTGTGTGTGTGTGTGTGTGTGTGTGTCTATAACCACACATGATTAATGTTAATACAGCAGGTCAGAGCACGTGGACAAATGCAGAACAGAATTATAATAAGTAACCTATGTGTTTGCAGAACGGTGATTGATTTTCAATTAACATAATTATGTGTGTGTGTGTGTGTGTGTGTGTGTGTGTGTGTGTGTGTGTGTGTGTGTGTGTGTGTGTGTGTGTGTGTGTGTTAGGAAAGGAGGAGTGGATCAGTACAGGTCTTTACCTCTCTCCTGGTATGAAGACCTACATGGCCATACCAGCAGACATCGTCAACAAGGGGTGGAAGGTACAGTCCACAAAATCAAACATTAGGACTATAGAGTTCAAGTTTAGACTTTGAGATTCAAAAAGAAATCCCCTCACTAACAAATCAACTAAACCATAATCCATATCCCATAATGCAGCTGTATGCTTCCTGTGCTGTAGAACTGGTAATGACTGTTAGCAGTCAAAGAAAATGGTCCAGGTCTTCAAAGCAGTAACACATATTCCACGTCTTCCTCAGGTCCAGATCGGCTGTCAGACAGACAAACTGAAGGCTGCAGAGATAAAGAGAGCTCCATGTGTTCATGTACAATTCCCCATAACCTCCGAGATGATGCAGGTGTGGAACCTCTGGGGGGGACTCATCTACCTGGTTGCCCCACCCAAAACACAAGTGGAGGGAGTAGAGGTCGTAGTGCAGATGGCTGTACCTGCGCCCTATTATAAATCTGGTAAGTGTTCAGTGGGTCGAACTGTCATGCAGTATGTGTTTGCCGATGTGTGTATCTGTGGGTCCTCGTGGGGTCAGTGGAAGAAGTGTGGTGATTTTTGTTCTCTGTAGTATGGGATAAATGTGGTTGTGTAGAAATTCAGGGAAACATATATTAAGATGGAAATGCTGGGTCCATTTTACTCTTATGAACTGATACCTCACACAAAGATCCAGTTAACAGTCTCACCACTCCCTCTCTAAATCAATGCATGTTTGCTAGTCCATTGGTAACCATACTAACAGTTTGCACCCTGCTTTGTGCTGCGTTAGTAGTTAACTCTCACAGGGGACATGGACCTAACCTCAAATGAACTACAAACACACTTTAAAACATGGATGAGGATTTCAACACAGTTCCTCTTTTTGCCTGTTGTTAAGTGGCCATAGTACTTGGATGGATACTTTTACTCTCACCCTTTGTCCCACCAAGGACTATGTGGTGAATGAATTTATATCAGATGCATTGGTTTTTCATGGTCTTGTTTGCAGCCTGGCTTCTATGTTCCTGATTAACTGTTTAATCTATAGTAGATTTACAGTTGTATGAACCTAGTCCTTACATTATATTTAAGCAGTCTAGCCATTCATGAAAGACAGTCATTGTATAGATGTTTTCTTGGAAATGTAGTTCTTGACATTGCAGGTTTGTACTCTTTCTCACATGGGGCATTATATATGAGATAATGTAAAAATTCAAAGCTCAGTTTTGAACACATCCATCCCTTTGTTCTCTTCAGGCGTGACAACACCAGCCGATTGGTCCTTGCTGCGCACTGCTCCCTCACCCTGGGCAGAGTTGGAGTTTGACAACATCATCCTCACTGTGCCATCAGATGTTGTTCGGGACCTGGAGCGCCCCGATGAGTTGGCGGCGCACTGGGATGCCATCATGAGGGCCATTGCTGACCTGGCAGCAAAACCACACAAATTCCCCCGCAAGGAACGCTTTGTGGCAGATGTGCAGATTTCCCATGGTGAGTGTGTTTGGCTTGAATATTGTAAATGCCTGTTTCTTGTTTGCTCATCCTATTGAGAGTCCTGGGGAGATGGAGCCTCTCACAACTCATGCTGGATGAGAGGCATGGACAGGTGGACAGTCCTACAGTGTTTCTCCACCGTAGCTAACCCTAAAGAGCATCGCTATAAAATAGTTTTTCTGATTTTCCTCTGCTCAGGTTGGATGCATGCAGGTTATCCTATCATGATGTACAATACTGCAGCGGCTGACCTGATAAACGTTGACCATGCCAGGAGTAAAGGCTTATGGGGCCCCATCCATGAACTGGGACACAACCAGCAGAGAGGCTGCTGGGAGTTCCCATCACACACCACAGAGTGTACATGCAACCTGTGGTCAGTGTATGTGCATGAAGAGGTGCTGGGGATCAACAGGGAACAGGTAGAGTTAATCAGAAAGACCGTGTTTTAAGGTGTATTATGACACAAATTTATATCAGTAGACATCAACAACTCTTTTTTTATCCTTTGTTGAGAGAAGTATTTAAATTTTCATCGAGATTATATTGTTTCACAATCATCTTGTTCAACGCAGGCTCACGAAGCTATGACTTTAGAAAATCGAAAGAGACGAGCAGAGGAGTATGCTAAGGGGGGCAAGAATCTCAGCTGCTGGAGCGTGTGGGTGGCCCTGGAGACATATATGCAGGTAAGAGAGAATTATTCTATATTACATTATGTAGACAAAATATACTCAGATCACACTGGAGTCACATATTTAACAAAATCACACACCCCATAGGCCAAAAAATGCATATTAGACTGACAGTCTATAACCCTATTTGATCCATTGAGGCTGTATTGCTCATTACACATCAGACAACAAAAATGTTGGGTTAAAAATTTTAAGACAACACTTTTATTTTTATTTTTACATTTCCGTCTACCTTTTTCTCCTTCCATGTAGCTCCAGGAGAAGTTTGGCTGGGATGCCTTTAAGAGGGTGTTCGCTGCCTACCATGACATGAGCGACTTTCCCGGCGACAACAAAGGAAAGATGAACCTGTATGCTGAGACTTTCTCGTACAATGTGGAGATGAACCTGTGTGGATTCTTTAAGGCCTGGGGCTGGCCCATCGAACCAGCTACTGAAGAGAAACTCTCCAGCCTGCCTCCCTGGGGTGACCACCCTATGGTCCAGTATGACTGAACTTCAGTCTGCTGCTGATTAAAGTGCAGAAAGATGGGTTCAATGAATACCAAACACTTTATTTAGTGGGAAATTCAATTAACTGACTTTGTTTTCTTTTTTGTTTTTGATATATTTTACCACATTTATAGTAATATTTTAAAAGAGGTAGAAGTTATATACAGAAGATACATACAGCTTTTAAATTCAATAGTTCCATGAGAAATGGACCAATAATTGTGATTATCTTAGTGGCAAATACAGTTGGGCAGTTGTTAAACACTTTAAAACCAAGAGCTAAACTATTTTCTTTTCACTTCAATTTCTTTATGAAATTGTTGAGTGGTTTGGTGTAGGCATAATTAGCTAGTATAAACAATATAATTTACTGTGTTGCACTTTACCTCCTAATATTAAGTAACTAAAATTTTACAATGAGGGTTTTCAGCTGCACATGTTGCCATCAACTCCAATTTATCAATGACTTGACAATTGGTATTTGCTGGGTATGTGGTTTCATTATCACGAATGTATTAATCTGTGTACTATATAATTCCATTTGAATATATTGTATAATGTGTAATATTATATATTATATATAATCTTAATTCATTACCTTTTTAAATAAAGGTTGTTAATTTGTACACAGTAATATGATGGTTGGTGTCCAGTAATTTATTTTTTCATTACAGTACAGTAGACCTACATACTGTTGTCCTAATACATGATGAGCAGATTTTCTAAGAGAATTTATTTGTGTGCAGGTTGGTGTGAGGACAAGTGTTTTATGCACCATTTTCATTATCGATGTTTCAGATTTACAACAAAGTTGCATAGATTATATTAGATTTATCAAGTGCTACACAAAATCTTCATAGATTTCTTCAAGAAAAAAATATTAAATTTGACATTTCACAGTCAGTGTGTTATATTACATCAACAAATGTCCTGTTCATTGGACTGGATGAACAGGTTTGTCACTGCTTCAGCCCACGTGTAACCTGTGAACTACTTAAACCAAACACAGGGTGTTGACAGGAAACTTTTGTAATCTCCTGTCCAGTCAGACCTTCCCCTTCATCCAAAAACAGCTGCTGTCACTGGGCTGTTGTGAGTCAGTTCTCTTCCTCTTACTGTCACTGAAATAGTCCCTCCTCCTCTTGCTCTTAATTACATCCACTCCTCCTGTCAGATGGTGCATTGCTTGTTTGGAAAACTGTTGTGCTGCAGTGTAATAATTGAAGAAGAAAGACCAACTTAACTTTAAGGTAAAAAATAAACTTTTGCTTTAAATTGGTGTTTGTTTGTGAAGACATCTATAACCTGTAACCAGACTTGATTATATCTCAAAAGCCAAAGTTGTAGATTGAAATTTCGCTGTCCATCAATCCATCCATATTCTGTCGCTTATCAGGTGTTGGGTAGGGGTGGCAGCAAGTTAAGCAAGGTAGTCCAGATGTCCTTCTCCCCAGCAAAGTTTCCCACTTCCTCCGTGGGGACTGTGAACTTTCAGTCACCACCAAAAGCTCGTGATCTTAGGGTTGGACATAGATCAACTTGTAAATCGAAAGCTTTGCCCTCAGGCTCTGGTTCCTCTTCTCTGGCGACGCATCCTCATTACTGCTGTTGCTGCACATATCTGCCTGTCGAGCTCACGCTCTATTATGCTCCCACTGACCCAAAGAAATGCCTTCACTTGAGGCAGCAACTGCCCTGTGACGTCATTGCAGTTTATCTCTACCTTGCAGGTCAGACCGACTGTTTGTGTAAAAACTACCAACATGTGTAAGTTTTATTTGTGCGCCAATTTCGTGGGAGTTTGTTAAATTATTTCGAGCATATATGTGGAAATATGACAGTTTAAAAATGTAATTGAAAGTTTTGGTCGCTGACTTGGTAGGTGACACAGCTGTTACCGTAAGTTTCCTGTACCTGCGCACGGTCTGGGAAATTTCGCCAGGTTTATTTTCTTTGCACAGTAATTATTTGAGTAATATGTAGCTCCTATATTTTTATGTTTTAGTGCCTTGGGCATAGGTACATTTTGAAGAGTAGGCCTACAGTTTACATAATATGCTAGTAATTTGTGAATGTTGTTTTAGATTTAAAGCTTGTGCGTCTTACTCTGAGAATGAGTCCCACTAAAAGCTGTGTGGTGAATGTGCATCATTTTAGTAGCCAGGACAAGTGCAGCTGACCTCTATAATTTCAGACAGCTGAATGTAGCTTGTTTCAAGTACAATTGAATAATGCTGTAAGTTACACTTTATATTTATAGTAGTCTTAAATCACTTATGCATAGGTGATTGTGTACCATTATGTTGCCTGAAGTAGGAAACAGTATCAAGTACACTTGGAATTGTGAAATGTTGGCAGTGTGAATGTGTTTTTACCTGTGTCTTGCAGGAATTTCATTTTTTTTGCTGTGGTACAGTTTCTTCAGAGCATCAGTCCTTCTCACCATGTCCACCCAGCCCCCCCAAACCCGCCATGAAGCAGCATATATGTCCCTTATTAGAGGCTTGAGAGAGCTGGATCTCCATGGCCCCTGTGTTCCCAGCGACCTGGTTCTGATTGGAGACCACGCCTTTCCTTTGGCAATGAACAGCCGAGGCCAGGTCCCGATGGCTGCCTCTCTCTACGGGCGTGGAAGGATTGTGGTCCTGGGTCATGAGGGCTACCTGACAGCTTTCCCTGCTCTGGTAGAGAACGCTCTGACGTGGCTGAGAGGAGATGGATCTGACAACCTGTCTGTGGGGATCCAAAGGAACATCATGGCGGTCGCCGATAACCTCAGCAAAGCCAGCTTCCAGGCCAATGTTGTGGGGGCCTTCAGCAACAACCTGGAGGTTGGTGTATATGTGACGGATGCCTACAGTGTGGGTGCAGACCCAAAGGACCTGGTGGCGTTTCTGAAAGCTGGAGGAGGAGTGCTAATAGCAGGTCAGGCGTGGAGCTGGGCTGCAGATCACCCTAAAGAGAACACACTGCTTCAGTTTGGAGGGAATAAGGTTTCTGGTGTGGCAGGGATCTACTTCTCTGAGCATCCGGGTGAGGTAGAGTGCCTGCCAGTCTATCCTCAAATCCCGTCCTCCTGGATGGCTGTAGTGTGAGTACCTCTCTTTCTTTGAACATTTGAATAGGTTCCAAATTGTAAAATGGCAGCTTTTCTGTTAATCTCAAACTTATCTGCACATTTCCTTCTATTTTTAACAGTGATATTCATATCTAGATGCTCATCTTTCCCAGTCAGGCCATTTATTTAAAATTTCACATATTTCTACACAATATGTCATAATTTATTCCAGATAATTGTTTGTCAATTTAGGGTTTTGAGATTGTAACAGTGCACTGGATTCTTCCCCTTATATCTGAATGTAGTTTGTACAGTTTTGCTGAATAATGCGGCACTGTGAGGCTGTACTTGCAGTTCTCTGAGCTACCTGCTAGCATCAGCATAATAACAGTGCTAACATGCTGATGTTTAGTGGATATATTATGTCTCTAGTGTAGTTTAGCAATTTAGGATGCTACATTTGTGCTAATTAGTGATTAAAACAAAGAACAGTTGAGGCTGATGAGAATGTCAGTAATTTAGCAAATTAAAATTGAGGAAAAATTGGGGGGTCATCGAAGGTATTGCAATTTATCTTGAGGGCAGGATGAATTTCTGTGCCAAATTTCATGTCAGTCCATCAGAAGTTATCCCTAAAAATCTAAAATTTCAACCTCATGGGGTGCTAGAGGAAAGTCAAAGGGTCACCAAAATATCAGTAGGATGTTTTCTCTAATTTTCACCCTCCCTGTCCTTTCCCTTCTGTTTCCCTTTTTCTAAATAAGAATTGGTAAAGATTTTGAGGACGACTTGGAGTTCTTACTCCAGGGGATTCCAGACTTTGACCTCCAGAATGAGGTAGTAGCTTCTGAGGTTCTGGTCCACGGCCCTCTAGCCTTCCCCATCGGTACCACTGAGGATAGACGAGCTTTCCTGGCAGGAGCTTACTATGGGCAGGGACGAGTTGTTGTGATCACACATGAAGGACTTCTGAGACGAGAGGTGGGGTCTGAGTTAAGAAATGGAAGTCACTGAATGTTTGGATGAGAATGAAAATGAGGTGAATCATATGTAATTACTGTTGGCTGTTGTGTTGGTATTGTGCTAATTAATGAGACATATGCTAAATCTGCCAAATATTTTTATGTTATTGACAAACTACTGTCTTTCTTTGATAACCAACCTTCATTGCAGACTCTGGCTCCATTTTGGAAGAATGCCATTGACTGGTTGGATGAAGGCCGGAATGGGGTCGTTGGCGTAGTACCAGACCTTGACCAAGCCTTTAACCTCTTCAGGGAGTCAAAGTTTAATTGCAGGAAGACAAACTTCAGTGAAGACCTGAGTGTGTTTGTGTGTACAGCGTACAGTGATCAACATGTAGAGGAAATCCAAAACTTTGTAGCAGAGGGAGGAGGCCTGCTGATTGGTGGCCATGCCTGGCACTGGGCACAGACACACAATGGGGAAAACCCGATGACAGAATTCTCAGGTATGAAAATGTGCTGCCAGCACATGCAAATTACACATTGCCAAAGTACGTGCAATTGCTAATAGGCAATGACACATACTGTACTACAGGTATAGCACCATAAACATTGACTTCCACACCATTAAGAGAAAAACACATTTGCAGTCACAGACTCAGGCAAAGTCTCAGAAAACAGCTTTAGAGTCTGGCTCAGGACAGACAATCTCATGAGACACAGACTCTGGATAAAAAGTCAGGTACAACCTTGGCCATAGAACATGCCTACATCCACACAAGTAACAATAGTAATACAGCCTGCAATTTACAGTATGATATAGGCGTATGAATCAGGTACCGATAAAATACTGACCAGTTCCTTCTGGATCTTGATTGTAGACACAGTGGAAGAAAACATGACTATGGAGGATAAGTAATAATTAGGTGCTGTAGAGAAATTTATTTTTGCAAATACGGGGAACCTATAATGTGCAGTACCGGGTAACAAAATTGAAGTCTGGGAAAATGGTGCTAATGACCTTGTTCTTATGGTGTAATTAAAGAATAAAAGGGGAGAACAGTCAACACCTATATTACAGTTTAACAGGCAGTTGAACTGAATATGAGCTCACGGACAAGACAGACTAGACATTCTGACAAAGGCAAAAGTAAAGAAAGAAGGTAGACTATTATGACAACAGACCTGCACAAACTTACAAAATATGTTTATTTGATTTAGACATGGGCATCGGTCCGACAATCATAATACTTTAAACCATGTAATATGTAGATCAAGTCATGTTTCTTGCACTTTCTTCCAGGGAACAAGATTCTGAACAAAATGGGTTTGAGCCTGCTGGGGAATATAATTGGGGAAGGTTCCTACAAAGCTCCTGTACCCAGCCAGGCCATCAAAGACGGCTACCACTTCCGCCACCTACTACACCGCTTTGCTGGTCATGTAAACAAGGGGGTGGCACTTACAGAGCATGAGGAGGAATGTCTTAAAAAACTGGGCAGGGACTGTGCCAACTACTTGAACATGAAGGCTCATGACTGCTCCTCCTATACACAAGTGTTGTCCACTCTCACTGACATCTTAAAGAAGTCAGGCATGCCACAGGTGGGCGCTTAATGACTTTTTGTCTATGGTTCTTAAGTAAGGAAGTTCCCTTTTGTTTCTGCCTTTAGCTTTTCAGGTATCCACTGTCTTGTTGACTGCTGATTCATTTACCTTGTACATATAAGTTGAAGGAACCATAAATACCACACCACCAACAGTACTACCAATAGGACCATAATATGTCTGCATAGATCTGATGTTTTTTTCTCAACTTTTATAACATTTCATCATTCATTTTTAAGGTGTGTGAAAGCAGCCCTGTGAAGAGTCCCAAAGACCACCTGCTCCTCAGTGTGGGGACAGAGTTGTATAAGGTTTGCCCAGATCCTGACGCTCTCCTGCCTCACCTCATCAAGGATAACCCGTTGATGCCAGTTGTCTATAACCACACGATCATGATTGATGTTAACACAGCAGGTCAGAGCACATTAATGTGGACAAATGTAGAACAGAATTCTAATAAGTAACATATGTGTTTGCAGAACGGTGATTGATTTTCAATTAACATAATTGTCTGTGTGTGTGTGTGTGTGTGTGTGTGTGTGTGTGTGTGTGTGTGTGTGTGTGTGTGTGTGTGTGTGTGTGTGTTAGGAATGGTAGAGTGGATCAGTACAGGTCTTTACCTCTCTCCTGGTATGAAGACCTACATGGAAATACCAGCAGACATCGTCAACAAGGGATGGAAGGTACAGTCCACAAAATCAAATAAGACATTAGGACTATTGAGTTCATGTGTGATGCTGTTGATACAAATCAACTGATCAACTGATAATGACTGTTAGTAGTCATGCATCAAAGAATATAGTTACTACTCCATGGTAGTATTCAAAGCAGTAACACATATTCCCTTTCTTCCTCAGGTCCAGATCGGCTGTCAGACGGACAAACTGAACGCTACAGAGTTAAAGAGAGCTCCAAGTGTCTACGAACGATTTCCCATTACCACAGAAATGATGCAGGTGTCGAACCTCTGGGGGGGACTCGTCTACCTGGTGGCCCCACCTAAAACACAAGTGCAGGGGATACAGGTCATAGTTCAGATGGCTGTACCTGCACCATATTATAAATCAGGTAGGTGTGTCATAGCCGAAACTGGTACATGTGTGAAGCTGAGACAAGTTTTAATAATCTTGTACGATGTGTTAGCTCCCAGTGAATGTTTTAATACAACTCAGGTGAGTCAAGCACATGAAAACTGACATGATGAGGTGGGTGCCATTAAGGGGGTGACTCACCAGTGCCATGTCTTATTGGTGAATCTTTGGGCTGAAATAAAATAGTCACAGTGGAGGCATGGGCTCGGCCTCCGGAGACCGAAAGTGATCAGAAAGTGCAATGCAAGCAAGGAAGTGTCAGGGGGTTTCCTTAGGGTGGTAATGGAAAATGCAATAGCAAAAGCACGTTGCGGAGGCAAGGCAGGTAGGATGGGGAGTCAGTGAGGCAAACAAATCCTAAGGGAGCAGGCAAAAGACACAAAGCAGGTGTGGGCTGGGGTATAAACAGGCAGGTTGGCAGGAGGAGCAAAGGGCTGGAAAGCTGGAAATGCATAGAAAATGATCTGGCAAACGGAAAGAGGAAGTGAGCAGGTATACAGAGGTTTTGATGGGATGATGAGGAGCCAGTGTGAGGGCAAGAAGGATCAGGCAATGAGGGAAACGTAGACCTGGTGGAAAGGACTAAGGGCTACTGCTGGTCAGGTGAGAAGGGGCAGGATCTGGAATGAGAGGACAGTTAGTGCTGAATGGGATCAAAAATTTTTAACCACGAGTTACGTGGAGATTAAACCCATGACAACATTTCAAAGCCCAAAATAACACAAATCCAGATTCACTTTTGAATACGCATACTCCTCTCTTCTCTTCAGGCGTGACAACAGCAGCTGACTGGTCCTTGCTGCGCACTGGTCCCTCACCCTGGGCAGAACTGGAGTTTGACAACATCATCCTCACTGTACCATCAGATTTTGTCCGGAATCTGGATCGCCCTGATGAGTTGGCGTCATACTGGGATGACATCATGAGGAGCATCGCTGATCTTGCTGCCATCCCACACAAATTTCCTCGCAAGGAACGTTTCGTAACTGATGTACAGATTTCCCATGGTGAGTGTGTTTGACTGTGGCTTAATATGACTAAGCAGCTTTAAAACATGTTCTTCGCTCTGCTTTCATTAGAGGTACCTGTATGATCACAGTGACTCCCCCTCACATGTCATCTGCGTGCATAAGACTGTGTTTATAATTTTCTCGATCCAGGTTGGATGCATGCAGGTTACCCTATCATGACACACAGGTCCACAGCAGCTGCGCTGGTCAGCATTGACCTTGCTAAGAGTAAAGGCCTGTGGGGCCCCATTCACGAGCTTGGACACAACCAGCAGAGAGAATGCTGGGAGTTCCCACCACACACCACAGAGTGTACATGCAACCTGTGGTCAGTGTATGTGCATGAAGAGGTGCTGGGGATCAACAGGGCACAGGTGGAGTAAATTAATTTTGGAGAAATGCAACATTTCACTGTCTTTTACCTTTTAACTGTTTCACGATAAATGGAACTTCTGCTTGATCAGCTATATAATGTGATGCACATACTGTGTTTCATGCAGACTGAGCACCTTTTGACCCCAGAAAAAAGAAAGAGCTTTGCAGTACAGTATGTTGAGGGGGGCAGGAATCTCAGCAGCTGGAATGTGTTTGTGGCGCTGGAGACATATTTGCAGGTGAGAGGTCATTTCTGTACATAATATTCTTAAGAAACTATCCCTGTGTCACACTGGATCTGCATTTAATATATTCAGAATTGGGATCCAACTTTGGTAAAGATGTTGAGGAAAGTGCAAACACATTAAATATCGGACCAAAGGCTATATTGTTACCAGTTTAGGACACCTCAGTACACTTTTTTCAGTGTAAAACCCCATTTATATTCCTATTCACATTTCCCTCAACCTCTTGCTCCTTCCATGTAGCTCCAGGAGAAGTTTGGCTGGGATGCCTTTAAGAAGGTGTTCGCTGCCTACCATGAGATGAGCAGCTTTCCTGGTGACAACAGAGGAAAGATGAACCTGTATGCTGAGACTTTCTCCAAGACTGTGGGGATGAACCTGTGTGGATTCTTCAAGGCCTGGGGCTGGCCCATTGAAACAGCCACTGCAGATAAACTCTCCAGCCTGCCTTCCTGGAGTGACCACCCCATGGTCCAGTATGACTGAACTTCAGTCTGCTGCTGATGAAAGTGCAGAGAGATGGGTGTTAGTTGATCATCAGTTATGAAGTATCTGATTTCTGTTATTCTAGTAGTGATTTCAAATAATAATAAAAAAAGCTTAATGCAAGTATCCCGAATCAAGAAAATGCTGAGAGAAGGAAAAACACTGACTCAATGGTCTAGAGAGATGAAATCATTCAGCTCACAACCTGGACATTATCCAATAAAAAAATATACAAATAACACGCCTGTCTGCATAGTGGAGTAATGGCATTGTGATCAGAGAATGAAGTCACACCACCTTTGAGGCAGGGGCGGAGCCAGACATTGTCAACATTTGGGGCTTATCCCCAGCTATTTTTTTTCCCATTCACAGCAGCTACATGCACTGTTTTAGGGACATTTAGGGAAAACATGACAGTTGCCCAAAAAAAAAAAAAAAATCATCCAGAGCCTGCATTATATTTTGAATCAAATTGTTCTCTTTCTCCATCTTTCTGAAACCACAACACAACAGATTTTGACGATAATTAATTTCCTCTACTGCCACATAAAAAGAGGCAAATACATACATACATTTAAATCCAGACCATAACAATATGTGCTGCTCTAACTGAGCAGTCATATCCACAACAAGGCCAAGTAAATGTCTTCACAATATTTATAAGAACATTTATTCTATTAATATTACATTTCTTTAAGGAATGGCATCATAGGATAAACAACTTGGAAATGTACTGTAATATTATCGCACAGTATTTTATTTGTTCTACTCCTGATCACTGTTCTCATCACCTCATCTTCTTTCACTCTCTTAGCTCCACTCATCTATTCATGGAAATGTCAAAGAAGAAAATATAAAACAAAAAGAGTTTTAATATTTCTGATCATAAACCGAATATATAAAAATATTAATTATCTTATTAGCTTAGCTCCACCTCTGCTCTCCTTTGGTAAATCCTGTCTCCTGTCAACACATTTTCATATCCTGTCATTGGAGGTAGATTTGTCTCATTAAGGTGTAATCAGATTGACAATCAGCGAGTAAATGTGTATTCTGTAAATATTACACACCTTCCACAAATGGACTGTCATGTAATCTCTTTCTATCCTGCATCTAAGGGAAGATGGGGAAAATAGCAGGAAATGAATAAAAGCCATCATGGATGGCAGAACCGGTAATGGGCCGAGTCTGGCATGTGTGGTGTAGTTAAGGCTTGGTTGTGGGTTGTTGGACTCCTCTGGGACCGCACTTCAGTCGGATCTCTCTGTCAAAAGACCCGGCCAGTGTTTTCCAGGACAACATGAGTAACAGCAGCATAATCAAACCGAGGAACAAACAAACGCGGAAACATCTCATACCTGTGACAATATCGGAAGTCAGGTGAACAGGAAACGGGGCGTGCAGGGAGGAACCCGAACAGAGCGCGTTCCCTATTCGGCCCCCGTACGGGGACTAGGAGGAAAGCGCGATTACAGCTTTATATTCGACACCAAAAACCATCATGGCCACAGTGAACTGAAACCTGGCATTGTTAACAGTCCGGGGTCAGTAAGTGAAATACAGGGTGAGTAAAGACCCAGGCTGTTTTATCCGCCTTGCTTGAAGGCATCAACTGCCCGGTCCCGGAGTTAAGTCAGACAGCGTTGGAGGTTTTGACTTTACTTTCTCAGCAAAGTGTTTCTAGAAAATGCTAATTTCTTGATGCTTCATGCGAACAGTGTAACTGTTAAAAACGTATGTGTATCCCAAATTGAATATGAGTATAGGGGAAATCATGAGTGTATTTAACTCTCAAGCATAGAGTAAGTCAATGTGCAATGTGGGCAAAAAACATGTAGCTTTACTTTTAAATGTCAGCTTTGGTGGTTGTGCTTTAATAAATTTCAAGTAAAAATAAGTGTTTCTCAATATTGAGTTGTGATGGGCTGCTTAAAATGTTTTTGTTTGCCCTGCAATACAAAGTCTTACAGTTTTATTTATTTTAAAAAATGTTGTTATGTTTAGGAGGTGCAGAAGTGCAGAGAAATACCAGAAGATAGTGACTTTTTAATTGTCTTCTGCAGGTATGTGTTTTTCTTTGTTTAATGTTATATTCTTTTAGTCTGTTTACACCACCCCAAGCACTTTATATTTACTGTGGCAAGTAGGTGGCACTATTATCCTTTTTGTAGACTGATTTTCAGCGTTTAAATGACATTTATTGTCATAATTTAGGTAAATGATGTTAATGTGTATGTGTGTGTATTGTGAAAAAGAATATAATTTGATCATGCAGTGCTGTACGCATTGCTGAGGGAGGTGCAGAATTGCAGAGAAATACCAGAAGGCAGTTAATGACTTTTGTTTTGTCTTCTGCAGGAGCCATTAAAAAACTGGAAAGCAGTTCCCTGAGTTGTCTCATTTGTATTCCCTATCAACAATGTGTTACACTAGTACCATGCCTTATGGTCCCACACAACCAGCAGAAAATGGTAAGTGACTACACCTCATTCCCATATATGGCTCAAATTAGTCCGAATGATTTTGAGCTTGTAAAGTGATGTTCACAGATAATTCTGGAGTTGGTAATTGTAAGTCAACCTTTGTAAACCTGTAAAACAAATCTCCATGAGAAACGGTTGTGCTTGTGGCAAAGAGATTCATATTTGTTTAAAAAAAATGGTTTGATTAAAATCTTATCTTAAATTATATCAGTGGTGAGATTAAACAAAGACACTGAAGGATGAAGTGCTTTTTAATATGTATGTATCATATGTAAGTCCAATCACAAAGCAGTGTCCAACTTTTTGAAATCTTTCCATGTTTCCTGGTAACAGTACCTTCAGTTGGAGCTGTGTTTGGCCACCTCCTTTGACACTGATGGAAGCTTCCTGCGTAACTTGCACCTGACTGAGTTAATAATGGCGAGTGAAATGAATTTTAAGTAGAAATGTTTCTAAATACTGTACCGTGAAGAGCTGCCTAAAATGTCCTGGTTTGTCCTGCAATGTAAAGTAATTTCATTTTGTATAATTATGGTAAAATGGCAAGTCATTGGCATGACTGGAATGCTGTACATTTCCTGTACAATGGATTTATGCTATCAATATAAGATGAAAAAGTGACATCTGATACTGACTGTTCAGTAGTCTCAGTCTCACGCTAAGAAAAACTGACTTTATACTGTAAATGCTCTTAGAACCATCATCTTTTTACAAAACAGTAGTGTTTGTAGCTAAACCATCTCTAAGATCTCAAAAGTGAACATTTCATCCAAACACAGTGGATGAGGGTGGAGATGATGTGCCTGTGCAGGGGTGTGCGTTTGAATAAGTGTATGGAGTAAAGCTGAGGTGAAGGTGGCATGCAAACTGGTCAAAATGAAAATAAATGTTGAAAGAATGCAGTAGAATAGTTGATGGGGTCAGGGAAATGGCAGGAAATTTACACAGATTGCAGGTTTTGAATTTTTATTTAGTAGAGTTTAAAAGGAAAAATGTAACAACTGGAATGTGTGTTTGTTTAAGCTTGCCTATAAATTTAACACTTAAAATAATAATAATAATAATGATAATGCTATTTCAAATGTCAGGCCTGTAGAGTTGTGGGCTTTAAAATAAAAACAATGAGCTGATGCCCATCCTCACTCACTCTGTAGAGCTGAACATGAACTATAGACTGTCAGTTCATCGCTGTGAGCAAATCATTTCACATTACGTGTTTGATTCATTGTTCATATACAAATTCTGATTAGTTCCAAATATTGTTGTCATTAACCAAAATGACATTGTTTTTTCTATTAGGCCAGTAGATGCAGTCGAGCAGAGATAAGGGTCATCCCTAAGGGCAAAATATGGTTGTTCAATATTCCATGGTTCGTGGGCAGACAATCCTGTTCATTCATTTCTAGTGCAGTTGCTGTCTGCTTTAAAAGAAATATTACCTTCTGCCAATTACAAACAAATGAGGACGGCGCTATTTGGCAAATAGCCAATCTAACGTCAGTGGGGCAACAGGCGGTCAGCTCCACTTGGCATCATATTTGTGCTCAACTTTCATCACCAAACGCTATGGGCATAGGGCCACATAGCGGCCTTTGAGCCAACTAACCTTTAAAATATAAATCAGAAAGCAACCAATGATTTTTTTTTATGTCATGAATTAATCCAGTATTATATTATTTTCCAAATTACAGTACCACTAAAAATAAACTTTGTGGGGCTTGTACCAAATGAGGTGTCTCCTCTAGGCATAGATTTGTGTATGGACAGCAGGGACATAGCCCTACCAATGTCAATGTCTCTTATCTCCTCAGAGTGATGAGGTGATGTACTTTAATAGTTTCCATCCAAATGTCCACACAAACATTTTCTTCTTTTGATTTGCTTAGAATTTGGTTAAAATTTGCATGATATGTGGATGGAAACCTAGCTGCTGGAATGCCTGACTGTATGTTCATGAAGTGATGAGAAACTACATATAAATGGAAGTTTTGAGATGGTTTTGATACCCTATAGGTTAATGTTAGAGCAATGCTGTAGCTCGGTAGTGAAACATCATTTCATTAGCTCTGGGGAACACTATTCCTAAATCAACAAAGAGAGGGAAGAACAGACTTAGGAAATCTCAAGTTTGAAGACTGTTTCCAGCATACAGCTGGTTCAAACAGGGTAAAAAAAAGTTACAGGTTATTGTCGATTTATTTACATTTACAAATATATATTGACTGAAGTAAACATTTTGCAGAGTCAGGCTATTATTGTGTGTGTGTGTGTGTGTGTGTGTGTGTGTGTGTGTGTGTGTGTGTGTGTGTGTGTGTGTGTGTGTGTGTGTGTGTGAGAGATCATGAGTGTATAGATCAAGTAGACACAACTGCATATCAGCCATCCAACCTCTCAACTTTTCATTTGCTGCTGTAGGCATAAGGGAGTTGTCATTTTCACAGCACTAGTATAAACCATCATACACCATTATACTTATATATATATAATTAATATATATTATATATATATATACTATATATATATATTAGATATATATATCATATATTATATATTTATATATATAATATATAATTATATATAATTTATATATATATAATATATATATATATATATATATATATATTATATATATAAATATATAATATATTAATATATATAGCATAATATATATATATTATATAATAATACATAATTATATTATACAGCAGCAAATGAAAAAGTTGAGAGGTGGATGGCTGATATACAGTTGTGTCTACTTGGATTCTATTAGTATATATACTATATATATATATATATCAATGAAATAGACACCAATGAATAGCCACTTTATCTCTCTGCTACTTATTTTTATTCATCTATTTGTTGTTTAATGAGAAGAGCGATAATGGATGCTTTAGTCTTGTTGCTGTTAAATGGTGACTGTATTATCACACTAGAATCAATATCAAAAATAGCTTTTGGTCGTTATACAAATCTCATGTAAAATTAAAGGGCAATGGCACCTAAAGTTATTTTTTCATTGTCCCTCTGCTCATCTTTTCAAGCCCTGCAGTTGTTGTAAAACAGCTCCCCTACTGGCTGATTGGAGAACTGCTGCAGGAATTCTCCCAGTTTGTCCAGAGAGAGCTTCTCCACCCAGTTCTCCTCTGTGTTCCTCGCTGTGGCTGCACCACTCTGAAGGGGCCTTTCATTGTTGTCCACACAGCAGAAGGCATTCCACAGGTAGTCTGGGATGTTGACACGCTTCACATTGTTTTTGACAATCCAGTTGTCTGCAGAGGGAATGGCACCCACCAGCACATAGGCCTTAGAGCACTTGCTCTTGAAAAGGTCGGTGAGCTGGGACTCATGGATCCTCCAGGCGTTCTGGTTCAGCTTGGGGTTCTGAGGGACCACGTTGGTCAGGGTGAAAGTGGCGTTGCGGCTAGGGACTGTCAGAGAGAGGGACGGAGAGTTGCAGTTAATTATGCAAAAACTAAGTTTACAGATTCTGGGTCTAAAAAAATAAAACTTAACGTTAAACCTGCAATATATATTTTTTTCTAGTCATTTGGGACACCTGTGAACACAGCACTGACATGTCATTGTCGTGTAAGTTGATATGGCAGATGTAGGTTTAGAGCAACATTATCATTAATTTGCACAGAGCAACACTGTCATTAATTTGAGGTTATGTTTCTGTCCACCTTTATAATGTAATGTAGCGCTGAAGTGCTCAGCCTGTCCTACCTGCATGGTGTCCGTTAGGGTTAAGGTGACCACGGTCGAAGCCAGAGTGTGTGTAGTCTTCATTCAGAGCCTGTTTCTCTCCTTGGTAGACCCCAGGGTGGTCCTTCCCCAGCCAGTAGCCATCCTTCATCTCAGCTTGCCAGGACAAGTTTACCAGCTATAGGGCACATAAAAAACTGAACTTCAATCATGCTGATGCTGTCACTGGGCCAACTGCAAGCACCTTTGCCCCCTATAACATCATATACTAAAAGATGTCAGTCTGTCATGCACATGCATATCTTTTTATAGGGAAAAATCTACTAAAAGAACAGAAACGGCACAATAAATACATTAGTGCTGTAAATACTTGATACATATGACACACTCTGATGGCAATATCTTTGGCCACATCAGTAGATGCACATGTAAAGTATAAACACATCTGGTACCAACCTGAGGCTCGACAAACCATCTCCTCTCCCTGCCACCTCCATTGCTGGGCTGGAAATGATAGGCAGAGTAGACAGCAATGCGATGGTTGGTGTCATACAATGTGGCAAAGTGGTACCTGATGGAGAAAGATGATGTATAATGATCGAGAGATCAGATGCGTTGCTATGGAAAATAAAAGCCAAGAAACCTTTAGTGCTGGAATTCGTAAGTGGCAAGATTATATACCGTATGTCAAATTTTCTAAGACTGAAAGTAAATAAAAAAAATATGAATTACGCAATGAACCAAGCTACTTATATTTAACAGGTTAAACTCACATTATACTGTTTATATATATATATATATATATATATATATACAGTAACATCAATGTCTAAATTCCCCTTTCTACTCTTTAATTACCTGTTGACGAAGCGCTGACAGAGACGGGCAGCACCAGGTGTAGAAGTCCCCCACTCTGGCACCTTCTCTTTATAGAAGTACTTCAAACATTCTGGTACATCCTGGGACAAAATAGCAAAAATAAAACAGACTCTTAAATGACCCACCTACCCACCACACACACATATTTAATGTTCCTTGAGGTCTTTAAGTAAACTGAGGTAACAAACCTCAAAGCGATCCACAACATCTGCATGGACAGAAAAGAGGAACAGGAGAAGAGCACACAAAGTTACCAAGGTCTGCATTATGGACAATGGTATCAGGGATTCACGACTGCCCCCTAGAGTCGAATAGAACAAAATAGAAAATATTCCGTGTGCAGTTGGTCGATCTACTGTAAATGCTTAGGCTTCCACATGGAGGAAGATCCAGCTTGTTTGTACTATCTGTGTGTATGTGTGTATTTCCACTCACCTGCTGGTACACTCGTCTGCTGCCACACTCTGTCCTGAGCAGAAACTGGTTCTTATATTTGACTTCTCCTCACCTTTCACCTTGTTTATCCTCTCCTTTTATCTGTATCCCTGTTCACACAAGAAATTTGTGTGGGATGAACCTGAATTTGGCTTCCACGTTAGGCGCGGATGTGCATGACTAAGAATGAGTGTTTGTTAAAATCACTTAGAAAATGCCAAAATTAGCTCTTCCGAGGTGCGAGTCTCAGTGGAATATGTTAAGGATATGAGACAATATCCTGTGTATGAAGAGGATTTTGTTATGCGTTATCACTATGACAGTGTTTCATATCACCCAAGTACTGTAGCTACTTCATTATAATTTGAGGTCATTTAACTTGAGTGTTTCCATTTCCTGCTACTCTCTACTTTATATATACATACAGTTAAGAAGCAAATACTGATTTACTGTTTATTCCACTACATTTATTTTATAACTTTACTTACTAGTTACTTTGCAGATTCAGATTAATAGCACAAAATATAACCAATATACAGGTTAATATATGACTTTATTGATCCTCAGGGGAAATTCACAAGCTACCCATTAGCTTTGGATTAATATAATATAATTCAAATCAGCCCCAGCTTTATGAAATGCAACATTAATGTGTACACATTAATATGATATAGGATAATTTATTATACTTAATAATAATACTTTCATTGCCAAGTAAAATGACTTTTACATTTAATTTTTTCTACTTTTACTTTGGTTAAAGATCTGATACTTCTTCCACTGCTGGTTTTAAAGCCTGCTGTTGAGGTCATGTTTACATCACACTGTATGAAATTAAGAACATTTCCAATACATAACTGTCTATTTTTAGCTACTGTCTAATTTCTTGGAAACCAAATCACTTTACTCAGATACTGTAAGTCAGACAGGGAGTTAAAGCTTCATGATGATGGTGAAATATTTAAGATGAATATGTTCTGATGCATTTCACTTGTCACTATGTTCACTCTACTAATGAGTTCTAATGGTGCAAAACACTCTGATGTTCATTCCTGTTATTTGATATCAAGATCTCTCAGAAGACCTTCTTGCATATTTACAACATGTGCATTTGGCATATTCGCCTCTCATAGCCAGCTTTTAGGTTAGGTAACACAGCTATCTGTTCATGTGCTGTTTTTCCCACGATAATGGCACAGGCTGTGTGCAAACCCCAACATGTGGACTCCTCCAAGTTTTCTGACTTGCACTACCATAACGCAAAACTACTCCAAATGAATTACTGGAGCGTGTTAAGAAATCTGTGTTCTTGCTCAAGGACACACGAGCAGACTTGCTCTTATGGAGACTTCCCAAAATTAAAGCTTGTTGCACAACTCTTCCAGTGCACCACGCTTTATTCACCACTTGTTTTTTGGGCTGTCATGTCTTGATTATCAGGCTGGTGTCTGAGGTTGTTTTTGATGTCCTTATATACAGTCCATTGATTACGATTATGATGTGACTTATAGTGGTCATCAATACAGCAATATTACTATCATCTTTTACAAAATTACAAGAAATATAAATGACCATCAATACAAAACCTGAAATATTACAACCAAGCTTTAAAAATATTCCTTATCATATGCAATCTCTCATCTCAACCCAAACACAATCTGTGGCTGACTTCGACACATCCCTCCTTTTACTAAATTTTCTCTTGTTCCCAAAATGTCATGTTTCTGTGAGAACAAAAACACTCCAGTGTAAAAATGGATTTGAGTCTAGTTCCTCATATAACCCTCTCAGAGTTAAAGTGTCCAATTTAAAAACCGAGAATGCTTCCCTCTTGAGGAGAAACTTCTCTGAATCGCCCCATTTCTTTGACAGAAAAACTCCAGCAACACTTGTAGTATAAAGAACAACTTGTATTGTGAGACCGACCTTTAAAGTTGAGACATGATCGACTCTCCACGCTACCCTGTCACTTGAAAAAATATCCTAAAAATAAAGAGTGATTACTGCTGTTGCCTTGCAACAAAACAATCCTGCGTTTAAATCTCTGGTTCTGTCTGAGTTTGCAAGTTCTCCTTGCAAATTTAGAAACCTAATTGCTGTTTAAAACTGGAGCTAGTTTTCGGATGCTGCACTGAAGCTGATCTCAAATAGTCTTGGGTGGAACTAGGTGAAAATCTCTCTACACTCATCAATGAAATTAGCTTAATGTGTAAAGTTATTGTCAGTCAACAAGATGAAGGTAAAAAAGAGGTCACTTAAGGTCGATTAGTACTGAAATGGAGTGAAGTCACAGAGGTGTGTAGATGCAAGAGAAAACACAGAAAACATAGGGATAAGATAAAGAGACTGAGGCTTTATTTAATCAGCCTTGTATTTTCCCATTACTCTGCTGGCATTCATTTTTCACATCAACCAATCAAGAGTAAATCTCACAGTACATGACTGCAAGACACTTCACGGCACCACATAATGTTATAACTGTGTTTGCACAGTGTAATTGCTTTGTTATTAAGGGAAATCAACAAATGTAGTAGTTAATGATCCATGTTGTTTGGTTTTCTATCTAATTTCAGATAGTGTAAACATCCAGAGAGGGAAGAAACGGCAAAGTGAGGACACAGATAATGATCAATAAATGGGACAGAGCTGAAGTAGTTGATAAGCCTTTGTTGTATGTGCAAATTAACACAATAGTAACATAAATAAACCACATATAAAATCATATCTTTTAGATTTAATTATTAAGTAATTCCTTTCTCTGAGTAGTTGATGTTGCACAGATAAAGTACTTTATTTGTTCTGAGTAAAAGACAGATGTTGTTGCTTAACTCGGCCTCTAGGTTGCAGTGTTGAATTAGGATTTCGAGTTCGCCTTTTGAAGTCGTGTTTTCTCTTTTGAACACTATTGCATTGCAGATTATTCAGGTGTTCATCCACCTGGAAAATACTCATTCTGCGAAATGATGGTGCAGTCATTGATAGGCTGTGTTATCAACACTCTAAACAAGTAAATTACAGTTTTGTCTCAATAGATGCCTTCAAAGCCGTAAAATACCTTCAAAGTGTGCATTGTGGCAGATAATCATTAAAGATGACACTGAGTGACAAGAGAATGGATTGAATCACCGCTATGATGGATTTTAGTAACGTCTTTCATGTTTTTGATTTGGCCCAGAAGTTAATTTGAGTGGACTGCATCTTTAATTGACTTGAATGGCGCTTTGTCACTTGCAAAGATCACAGACTTGGGTTCCCCAGACACAGATTTAGCCTAATCCCTGCCTCAAAAGCATCCCCAGTCACTGTCTGTCAGCGGGCGGGAATTCAGTGTGGTTCAACAGGAAAACTGTATGAGTGAGAATCTGTGAACCAGGAAACAAAAAGCAGTGTTTTAAATGTCGTTAAAATGGGACCTGTGCTCTGAATTCACCTTTAGACGCCTGGAAACCGCATGCTTTGATTTACACTGGTGCTGGTCACTTGATTAATTGTCTAGTTAGAATGCTAATTAATTTTATTTGATTGTTAATTGCTTTTGGGCTCCCTGGTTATATTGAACCAATGTGGATAATGAAGGTTATTGTTAGTGAATGATTATGTTAAGTAGTCAGCATTTTAATTTGTGTGTGAATTTGCAGTAAAGCTTTTAGAGCAAGATTCTTTTGTTATTTGCATTAACCCTAATGTTCTGTTTGGGATCTTTAAACCTCTCTTCAACAGCTCACAAAATATACTTAACATTGTTTAATCAGCTAAATACTTCATGGCTTTTACCTAATTTTATGGGAATTGCTTATCAACATGATTCTGAGCTGATGACATATTTCAACAGAAATTCATGCATTACTCCTGTTTATTCCCCGGCTGTAAAAGATGGTTAAAAATTACATTTTTTTTTTCAAATTTCAAATGCTCTGTATCTGATGTCTAGGGTGACGGTACTTTTTACTTCAAAATAAGTTTATCTTGATTTCTGTAATTGGAGGTTTTTTTTATATTATATTAATTGGAAGTTTGACCTTTCTGTGGTCTGGGGGTTGGCTAACAGGAAAAACACTGATGTTCAATTTTTCTAATTCACATTTTTACAGTGAGAACAGAAGTATACAAACAATGTCACCTCAGTGTCCACTCGGGAGCTACTCACGAGCTGTTCTGGAGCTTTTGATCATATTAGATGATCTTCTTCATTAGATTGAGTTTCCCATTTGTCATTGATTTGAAGAAGTTTGATTTAGATTTTTTTTTCTTTTTTCTTCTGAAAACAGCCACCAAATGTATCCTGAGGGTAGAGTTTTGTCAAGAGAAAAAAACATATTTCTGCTTCAACATATTATGCTTATTTTTTTAATGTTGGATTTGAGAATGATTCAAATAAAAGAAGTGAACATGTGACAAACTTTAATAGGGAGTCACAAGCCAAAAAAGGGAAGTAGTTGTCTAACATAAGTAACATCATGATGTATGGTAATACACTGTATATTTCTTTGGCTGTGAATGACTCTTTAGCAAACAAACTATTTATATAATTGTTGATTCATTGGCCACATAAAGAATATAAAATATTTATGTCTTACACAGTCATTTCCATATTTTGTCACCTACATCAAATGATTAAAGGACTACTTTGCAAAGGGAGGAGTCACCACTCCATTACTTCTCTACATACTGGAGTCTGTAGAAGTCTGTTTTGTAATAAGAGGAAAGGAGAAATGCATACTCAAGGACAAAAAGAGGTTGATTTTGCAATTATGATTAGTATTTAGTTTTTTAATATCCAAACAATGGAAAAAGTGAAGTCAGTGTCAACCCAACACAAGTGTCAATAATCAGTCTGCTCAAGTGTTGCTCAAGGTTTTCTACACTCAAAATAAAGTAGGCAGTGTTCCTGTCATTGGGTTTAACATTTTATCCTTGTGAGTTTTCACATCACAGCTACATTTATCAGGTGTAATTTTTTAAAAGATTCTCTATGACTTACTGAAGTGTGTTGTCTTGACCCCTCTCACCAGGTTTTAGTGACTGGGTGGAAACAATGAAGTAATTCTGGTACAGTCTGACTGCAGTGCTGCTGAGGAGGCAAAAAAAG